AGTCAGTTCCCCTATGTGGCGATCTATGTTTAACGGTCTATTGATCCCTGTGCCACCACTGTGCTCGCTTTCCCGCTGCCACCAACCAGTTACTCTCAGGTAAAACACTGAGTCCAGTCAGTTGTTAAAAGTGAACCAAAAAAACCAAGTTTATTTTACAAACATTAACAAGTTTATGGTTTCTCAGGTAATATTCCTGTCAGTATCTTAACTTTAGTTTCTTTACTGGCCTATACCTTCTGACTGATTATCTCAACTGTTTGACTGACTGCTCTTAACAAATTCTCTCACTCTCTTACACCAGACTAGCCCAACCCACAGACTTATCTTCTCTGTCTCTTCTAACTCCAGACTGTCTTCTCAACAACTCTAACTCCCTAAAAAACCCCCTCTGTGCTTAAACCTTATACACAGTTAACTCTGCCCCCCTGGGTTCCCATTGGTTAGTCATTTTACAATTAGTTAACCCTTCCCCTATGAACCCAGTATGATGTCACACACATAGGAGGGCAAACGCCACACCCTCCTTCAAAGTTAGACTGTGTATTCCTTAGGACAGTGGTTTTCAACCAGTGTGCCGTGGCACCCTGGGGTGCCTTGAATGATGGCCAGGGTGCCACAGGCAACACTGGCCTCTGTTACCTCTTTCCTTCCCTCCCTCCTCTGATGCCCTCTTGCATCTCTGCCTCCCAAAGGCTTGCACAGCTGCTTGTTGCAGCAGCCCTGGCTACAAGTTCCTCTGGCGAATGGTGCCTCTGAGACTGGTCAGGGGGTCCTGGTTGCCAGGAGCTGAGGTGGCCTCAGAGTAAGCAAGCAAATGGGCAAGGGAGGCAAATGGGCAGGCAGGCGCTGCACTGGCCTTTCTTGTGCTTGCTGTGCGCAAGGCCTGCCTGGGAGCTGAGTGCCCGGTGCTGAAGGGGAGCCTTTCCGCCACGCAGGCCCAGCAGCGCCCACTGCTGCCTCCCAAGGTAAGATGCTGGCCTCACATTCACCTTTGGCCAGTCACCGTTGGGCCACTAAGGCTGAGGGTATCCTCTTCCCAGGCCCCTGTGGGGCAGTGTGAGGAGGCACCTCTCTTTGGGGCAGGGAGGGAGCTCAGAGACCAGGGGGGTGGCAGCTGCTGCCCAGAGGACTCCCAAGGAGAGGGGAGGAGGCTGAGGGAAGACTTCACAAAGGAGGGGGGCTGTTTGAAAAAGGATGAGAGGCTGCAGCTCTGCAGGCAAGGGGTGACATAACTGGGCTCCTGAACCCCACAGGGGTGCCGCAGAAAGAATGTAGTTGGTCAAGGAATCAACTCAAGTATCAAGGGTTTAAATGTGACTGTGATTTGGGAATAATGTGTTGATACTCAAAGAAAAGGTAGCAGCAAATTGTTGTTGTTGTTTAGTCGTTTAGTCATGTCCGACTCTTCGTGACCCCATGGACCAGAGCATGCCAGGCCCTCCTGTCTTCCACTGCCTCCCGCAGTTTGGTCAAACTCATGCTTGCGTTGTTGTTAATAGTTATTATATCCCGCCCATCTGGCTGGTTTTCCCCAGCCACTCTGGGCTGCTTACAGTACATGTAAAAGCATAATAAAACATCAAACATTAAAAACTTCCCAATACAGGGCTGCCTTCAGATGTCTTCTAAAACTTTTTTAATTCTTTATCTCCTTGATATCTGATGGGAGGGAGTTCCACAGGGCAGGTGCCGCCACCGAGAAGGCCCTCTGCCTGGTTCCCTGTAACTTCACTTCTCACAGGGAAGGAACCGCCAGAAGGCCTCGGAGCTGGACCTCAGTGTCCGGGTAGAACAATGGGGGTGGAGACGCTCGTTGATGGCTATTGGGCCGAGGCCGTTTAGGGCTTTAAAAATCAGCACCAAACTTTGAATTGTGCTTGGAAACACACAGAAAATTTATTGTTTACTTTCTCCCCCACCTGCAGATGCTGCAGACATTCACACATGGGACTTTTAAGATGTTGTGATAAAGGCATTGTTGCCCACAGCAACTATGCGGCCCACAATTTAGGGAAGGGTCAAACATGGTGACAGAGTGCATGGTTTGGTCCCAGGTCTGTTCCCCAGCATCTCCAGGTAGGGTTAAGAACAGTTCCTTTATGAAAACCAAGCGCCTGATTCAGTACTAAAGAGTTTCCTATGTTGAAGGCCACATGGTACTTTCAGAAGGCTCTTTTAAAAAGAAAAAACAGGGTGCAGCAAAACACTTGCCTAAGGAGACTTCTTAAAAATCATGGAGTGCTGTCTAATTTGGGACGTGTGAAAGGGCAATGACGTTCCAAGTAAAATGGCAGTGAATTGCAGGCGCCTTGCAGAGAGAGAATACTCAATTTGTCGGCTCAAAGCAATAAAGAAAACCCGGGAAAATAAACATCAGGGTCAACGAAACCTTCGTATGTATATGCAAAGTCTGTTGCTCCCACTTTGAAGGCCACAAGCTGGCAAAGTGCTGGAGAGGGTGATATAGATGCTAAAGTCTGCAAGAGCTCTTGCACAGTGTACAGCAGAGGGGATTTCAGCAGGCTTGCCAGACGGATGATATTTTCCCTTCTGCACACCTGTGAAAGCTGTGCAAGGCCTGGCCTTGCTGCTTTTGCACAGGAATTTCCAGTTTCGATCCCTTGAAGATCTCAGCTGGAAGACCAAAAAAAAGTCCTCCTTTGAAATCCCAAGAGAGCTGCTTCAGGCAAGACCGACCTTTCTCAGCCTGGTTCCCTCAGTGTATTTTGGACAACAACTTCTATCAGAACGAGCCAGCATGGCAGCCAAGCTGATGGGAGCTGGGCAGCACAGGAGACTGGGAGAAGCAGTAGACCTCACTGGCTAATCAACACATTGGTCTATGGCAGCTGCCTATGTTTCTTTTGCAAAATGTCTTGCAACCACAGAGGACGGATCTCAGTCAGTGTTAAAATTTGGAGCATGAGCTCAGGCCAATGGCCATCTAGTCCAGCATCCTGTTTTAGCAGTAGCCAATCTCTGCAAAACCTAGGAGCAGGATTCCAGGACAAGAAAGCTCTTCCCTCTCGTGGTTTCCAGCAACTGGTATTCAGAAACGCTGCTGCGTCAGACTGTGGAGGCATGGCGCAGTTATTTTGGCTAATGGCTGGGCTTTTATTTTTTTCAGCTGGTGCTCACCGGAGCTCAACTCTGGCACCTCTCAGGTGGGCACCATTGCCATTGTCAGAGAACGAGGGAGGCGTTCCTGGTGAGTTCCAGGACCTTTCTCTAGAAAAACAGCACTGGCTAATAGCCACTGATAGCCCTCTCCTCCATTTGACTTCAATCAGAAAAATCTGAAAAATCAGCAACGGCGTTGACAGTGAAGCACCCCCCCTCGTTTCTGTGTTTTTGCTTTTCGCCTCTCCTTTTAACAATCCATACTATGGATCCAAAGTTCAGGTCACCACAGATGCTAGAGACCTTTAGCTGAAAAGGGACCACAAATAAAGAACATGCTTGCTCTTTTAGCAGCCTTAGAACATGTTTTGTTCTTTCCATTTGAAGAAAGGCACGGGGCGTGGGGGGGGGGAGAGAAGAATTAAATTAAAAACAAACCCTGTGCTTGATACTAGGTCATCCTGACACAAAGCAGCAAAAGCCAATAAATAAGGTTTAGGGTTCGCATGACAGTATTTCCACATGTTTCTCAGCTGGGGAAATGGGGAAGGCTTCAGTTATTGGGGGCAGCAGACAGAGACTCCCTCAGCCAGAGGGATGGCAATGCAAGTCAGCTCCTTGCCAAGGGGAAGAGCTGGTCTGTTTAGTGACAAAAAGCCAAACCCCCTCCTGGTCTGCTATAAGCGGAGGCGGGGTAGGTTTGAACAAAATCTAAATAAATACAGAATTCTTCACCATAATGAAACAAAATGAAAGCCCACCTTCACAAACCCCCAATCTCAAAATTAACCTTCGCAGGACTCCATGACTTCACCAGAAGCTTTGAGTCATCCCCAACTTGGCGCCTGCCAGATGTTTTTGGACTACAACTCCCATCAGCCTGCACCTGCTGTTTTGGGGAGTTGCAGTTCAAAACGCCCCAAGGGCACCAGGTTGATGAAGCTCCTCTAGATGAAGGTGATGAATTTGTATAGGGTGCGTGTAGGGTGGATTAACTGGCTTGAGGAAGTTTGCATGGGTGGTTACATCAAAGAGTCTTAGGGAGCTTACTTTTGAGTTTGGGATTTGTGAAAACCGATGCTTATTTTTAATTAGTGTGTGCTGGAAATTTGTCATTTTATCCGGGAGGGCCAGAGGGCCAGAGTGGAATAGTTTTGCCCCCGCCCCTGGAATTTTCCACGGTTAGTGGTAAGCCTCATTTTGCTTTTTCTTTCTTTCTAGAAGTGCCAACCCATTAAACTTTTTTGTCTGTTACAGATTGATCGTGTTTAACTCATGCTATATTAGGCCACCGCCGCAGACCTTTGTCTCAAAATGTGCCCGGTTTATGTTGAAATGTACTACATAGGATTTGGCAGTGTTTGTACATATGATAATTAAATTATTATAATAAAGAATCCTTTTTAAAAAAATACATTTCCTCCTAACCTCAGATTTTGGTTGCTAGAGATTTGCTTGCTGTTAAGAGCCATTTCTGCCTCAATTGTTTGATGTACTGCAAGTCACACCTGCACCATACATTTGAAGCGGTGTGATATCACTTTAAATTCTCGTGGCTTCCCCCAAAGAATCCTGGGAACTGTAGTTTGTTAAGGGTGCTGAGAGTTGTTAGGAGACCCCTGTTCCCCTGTTCACAGAGGTACAAATCCCAGAGTTCCCTGGGGAGGGAAATTGATTGGGAGATTCCACCCCACCCCACCCAAATAATCGCTGGTGCTACCGTTCTGACCAACACAGTCACAATTGAACCAAGAACCTAAATAATCCTAATATGTGAAAGTACCCTCATGTTTCTCTGGGCCACTGTAAAAAAATCACCACCACCCTCTGACCAGCAAGATAAATTTCAAAGTAGAGAAAGAATACATTTCCCAAGGTAGAAGACAATTTATATTTTATTTTCAACACATTCTTTGCATTTTATATACATATACACATACAGCCACGTGCTCGCACAAATGTATTAAAAGCTAAAACCTTACTACATTGCAGAAATTTAAAAATGAATAATATGAAGAGGGGAAATGTACAAGGTAACTTTCCGTTCTCAGAAAACAACGAAACAAAACTGATCTCTTGTTTATTCCTCGGGAGAAATTCAATCAGGCCTATTATAAAACATTTCTTATGACAAATATTGGTCATGATAACCCCCCCCGCCCCCCGAAAAACCTGTTGTAAAAGAATAGTAATAGGAGAAAGTTTTACCATAAGAACATTTGTGGAGCATAAACTCACAGGTGTCGGACACGGGCTAAAAACCCTGGCACTGCAAAATCCCAAACCCTGAACCAACTCCCACAATTTTTTAAAAATGTACATTTGCTGGGTGTTATCTCTGCCAATGAGAGAAGGGGCTGGGCTGGGGAGAGGTTAGAGGCAGCCAAGAGAGACAGCATTTCACTTTTTATGAAAGAGGAGAGGCTTCACCATGCCTGCCAGAATCTTGGGTAGTTGGGCAGCGATCACTTCCGACATCATCTCTGGAAAGTCTACACTCAGCGCCCGAGATTGGAGGAAAGTATTCAAGCAGTAGAGATGGAGTTGTTTCACAAGCTGTATTTTTTAATTTTTTAACAAGAAAATCAACAATTTAAAAAAACCAATAAATCATCCAAACAATGTACGTTGTTCTTCACTCTGCCTCCCCCCACATCCCATAATTGCCCGATACTTATGAAGCTGTGTGCAATGCAGGAAGTTATATTTTCTCTCTCATCTTCCCTGCTTCTCACAATCTCATCCTCATCCCACTTCACGGCGGGAGACAAAATGACAGGTGAATATTTCTAGGTGACCACTAAGCTACTGTGGCAATGTGAGAATGAGACCTAGTGATTAAATTGGGAATGGGCCGATCTGTGAGTTTCTCTTTCCCTCAGTTTCTCAACCCACCCCCCAATCTTAAGTCTCCATATTTCCACCCCAGTTTGCAGGGTATTTCTTTTAAATCCTCATGAAAATTCACTGGCATTTTAGTGCAAATTGATCTTTAAATATACACAGGTTTGTACGCATTGTTTCCTAATGTACACATTTGTGCAAAGCCATTTCCCCTAAAATAATGCATTGTGTGTTATTTTCATGTATTTTATGTACACTTTTCCTCAATACATGCATATCTGTGCACATTATTACTGGGCTAGAGAAATGAATTGCAAAATTTGAAAAAAAAGTGTAGATTTCGAAGGATGGCTGTATTTCATAGCTCCTATTGCTTCAGAAAGTGCAAATTAAGTTGGTTTGCCTTTAAGTAAGAACTCAAGCCTAATTTCCTCTCCACCCCTACTAGCAAGGAGAAAATGATTGCATAATTGCATATATATATATATATATATGCACATTGCTATCCTAAGCTCGGCTTCAGATTTCTTTTGGGGGCAGGGATGAAGACGCATAAATGTGTAAATACCGTATTTTTCACTCTATAGGATGCACTTTTCCCCCTCCAAAAATTAAGGGGAGAGAATGCCGGCTCCTTGGCTTCAGCGATAGCAATGTGAAGCCTCCAAAGCGCAGAGGGAGCGCTCCCTCCATGCTCCGGAGGCTACACGTTGCTTTCGCTGAAGCCTGGAGAGCGAGAGGGGTCGGTGTGCACTGACCCCTCTCACTCTCCAGGCTTCAGGGATAGCCGCCTGAAGCCTTTGGAGCGCAGCGGGAACTCGTGCTGCGCTCCGAAGGCTTCGGGTTCCTTTTGCTGAAGCCGGGAGAGCAAGACTCTCCTGGCTTCAGCAGAGAGGGAGAGCTGCGCAGCGCCCCTTCAGCCAAGCGGGAGGAGAAATGGAAGGGGCTTCGTTTCTCCTGCCGCTTCGCTGAAGGGGTGCTGAGCAGAGAGGGGGAGAATTTTTTTTCTTGTTCTCCCCCTCTAAAACAAGGTGTGTCCTATGGTCGGGTATGTCCTATAAAGCAAAAAATACGGTGACAGCATATATCCTAAAGACAAAACAGTCTCAGCTGACCTTCATTCCAAGGCAAATGAACCCTGGGCAGGAGCTTCGAAGCCTTGGAGTCTTTCACTGCTCAGAGACTGGGGTGGTGTGTAACAGTAAGATAATCTTACAGATTGCTGAAATAAACTTACATCGTGCATGGAGTCCATAAGTTTCGTCAGCTGATAGAAGCGTTGCGAACTAGCCACGACCCCTTTCTGCCGCAGCCCGATTGCCTTGACCAGCTCTCTGATGTAGTTTGTTCTCATCTCCTCGAACTGGCTTTGGCTTCTGAGACCTTCCAATGGAACTGAAAGAGGGAGGGAAAGACAACACACATTGTTTTGCTTTGTCTCCCCGCCCCCCGTTGCTCAAATTCTGAAATAAAGCAAAAAGCACATTCTCATCCTTTCTCAGGGGTTGTACAGATTCACAAAGTTACCTGGGTATGTTGGACAGAGTTTGAAGCAGATAAAAAAGGTAAAGGTAAAGGACCCCTGACAGTTAAGTCCAGTCTCAGACAACTCTGGGGTTGCGGCTCTCATCTCGCTTTACAGGCCGAGGGAGCTGGCATTTGTTCTCAGACAGTTTTTCCAGGTCATGTGGCCAGCATGACTAAGCCGCTTCTGGCGCAACAGAACACCGAAACCAGAGCAGCACACGGAAACACCATTTACCTTCCCACCGGAGCGGTACCTATTTATCTACTTGCACTACTATGTGCTTTCGAACTGCTAAGTTGACAGGAGCTGGGACCGAACCACCGACCTTCTGATCAGCAAGCCCAAGAGGCTCAGTAGTTTAGACCACATGGCCACCTGCGTCCCTCTGAAGCAGATATCTAAACTCAAAGTTCATCACCAAATTAACCCTGTTTGATCAGAGTTTGGGTGATGGGTAGCAACTGGAGGCTGGGGAGATTTGCATGATGGGTGAGGCTGGGGGGAGGAGATTCCCCTCCTAATGCTTTACTCTTATTCACACTTGTATGCTCATCCTCATGTGTTTAAGGGCCAATTGACGCAGAAAAGGCTATGCACCAGAAACATGAAACTGCTTCCTTGCCCACTTCTGCGATGTAGTGATGGCTACCAGCTTGGATGACTTTAAAAGGGACCAGACACATTCATGAAGGATAAAGCTATCAATGGGCACTAGCCATGTTGCCTCTGTCGTGCCTCCAGTGCCAAGGGCAGTATACCTCAGAATACCACTTGCTAGGAATCACCTCTGAGCTACAGTCCCTAACCATTAAGTTATGTCCCTGTGGTCCTTGAAAATTCAGCTTTTTGTTTTCACCCAGGCAATTGGATGGAGCATACATAAAATGTGCCATGTGAAGAAGAGGAAGAGGAGGAAGAGGAAGAAGAAGAAGAAGAAGAAGAAGAAGAAGAAGAAGAAGAAGAAGAAGCAGCTGTGTCTTACTTGTATTGAGAAGGAGCAAGGCTTTCATGCAGAGATACTCTTCACTGCTTACTTGCAGCCTGACAAACTCCTGGGGAATTTGCCACATGGTCAGGCACAGTGAATAGAATGATGAGTCCTTCATCCTCTGTCTTTCACCCAGAAAACAAGAAAGAAACTTAAATAAATGAATGCTAAGTCCATGATTATTCCATGTACAAACCTTGGAACCAAGCGTGCTGGGTATCTGATCATGACTTTTTCTTACTAACAAGTTTGTTACCATACAGATAAAAATAAAATAAAAAGTTAGCCCTTCAAGAAGCGGTGTGTGTGTGTGTGTGTGTGTGTGAGGATGAGCTTGGAAGCCACAAAGTCTTCACTTTAAAAAAATAATTTTATTTTGCCAATTGCAGCAGTATAAAACAGCACAGTGTCAAATATCTCATGTGCCGATGTTATGGCATATGACTGGAAATAAGTGATAAGCATTAAAATCTGATGATGGGTAAGTAAAACAACTAACTGCTATAGCCCCTCCAAAACCCAGTATGGGTATGTGAAGGTTGTGAACTCTCAAGCAAAGTGTTTGTGACAATTACCATTCAAATCTCAATTCTGCCATGAATTGACTCAGTCGCTTTATTCACTCTTTTGGTCTCAATCACACATGTGTAATTCTTGGCAATTCCCTCCTCCAATCAAAAATGGATTGGAAGAAAGCCAATGAACTGAAGCTCAAGCCAGGTTTGATGGAACTACTACAGATGGCTCCATCTGGACTGCATGGAGTTGCACTCCCCTTGAAAGATCAGGCTCACAGTCTAAAGGCACTATCAGATTAGTCTTATCTTTAAAGGTCCATGTGGCCTTTGGGTTTCGAAGCACCCATCATCACCATCGCCAGCTGTGACCCCTCCTGGACAGAGAGAGAGTTGCATGCACTGCCAGCATCTTGCATTGACTGCTGCCATGCCCTATATGTGGGGCTGCCTTTGAAGACTGTTCAGAAACAGCAGTTAGTGCAAAACCCAACAACAGCACCTGTTTTATCTGGGTCTGGTCCTATAGAAGGTATCATGCAAGTCTGAGAACACCTGAAGTAGCTTCTGGTCCAAGCACAATTTAAAATGCTGGTTTTAACCTATACACCCTTCAACTGTTTGGGAGCATGAACCTATTTATTAGCACCAGTCTCCGATCAGCTGCTCCATGTTCACCCTCCAATGGAAGAAATGTGGGTGGTGATCAGAGATGGGACCTTTCCACTCATGTACCACATTTATGGAACTCACCACATCAAAAATATTCACCTGGTCCTTCTTTTCTTTCCTTTTTCTTCTTTTCTTTTTTACATTCAATTTTTTAAATTTAATTTTCTTTCATTAGACAGTTACATATTCCAATCCATACTTTAACATATATTAAATATAAAACAAATCCAAACAATATCCACATTTCTTCACCCATGACTTCCTACCACCTCATTGCAGCTTCTACTATCCTATTTTCTTTTCAATTGTGTTGATTATTATCTCATTTACACACAATAAATAACTTACCTATCTGAATTTTTACTTTGCGAAATTTATTCAATATATATCAAGGGTTTGATTTGGGAACAATATTTTGCCAGATATTCTTTCCCACTTTCCCACTCTCTTAAAAAAGTTTTTGGTTTGATTGTTGTCTAATTATCGGTGTCATTTTAGCCAATTCCAGATACTCACACAGCTTATTTTGCCAGTCTGCCTTTGTTGGTAGCATATCCCCTTTCTAATTCCTGGCAATTAACATTTTGGCAATCCGGTCCTTATTTTCTTTTGGCACCAGGTGGAAACATTTTTATTCACCCAGGCTTCTAAAATATTGCATCTATTTTAACCTCCTGTTATATTTACATACCACTGCAGGTAGTTGGAACTGGCATTGCTTAACACATGCAATGTTTAGAGAGCAAGAGCACGTGAATAACGTAAGAGAAGCTGGAATCCTTTACTTACTCATTCAGTATTAAGTCAGGTGCAAAATACAGCATCTGCCCACAGACATGCTTATAAGACCTCCATCCCATGGCAAACACCATTAGGCTCATCCAGGAGTACTGGATAAGGGTTATCTGATCATCAATGTGTAGGCCCCGGAATCCTGGAAAAGTGGAGAGGAGGAGGCAGGTTAACAACGTGAAAAGGTGCCTTTTACCATATGTGGTGGGCTTGAAGAAAGTAAAATGCTTCTGGGAAATGATATATAATGAGATGAAGAAAATGTTGAAATATACATTTGTGAAAAGACCAGAAGCATTTTTACTTGGTATTGAAGGACAGAAATTAATAGACAGGATAAAAACTTGTTTTTATACGCAACTACAGTAGTGAGAGTATTATTAGCCCAACGACGGAAACAGGAAGAATTACCAGTGAAGGAGGAGTAGCAAATAAAACTGATGGAGGATGCAGAACGGCCTCGGTCCTGTATACCTGAAGGAGCGTCTCCACCCCCATCGTTCAGCCCGGACACTGAGATCCAGCGCCTAGGGCCTTCTGGCAGTTCCCTCATTGCGAGAAGCCAAGTTACAGGGAACCAGGCAGAGAGCCTTCTTGGTAGTGGCGCCCACCCCGTGGAACACCCTCCCTTCAGATGTGAAGGAAATAAGCAGCTATCCTATCTTTAAAAGACATATGAAGGCAGCCCTGTTCAGGAAAGTTTTAAATATTTAATGCTGTGCTGTTTTTAACACTTGATTGGAAGCCGCCCAGAGTGGCTGGGGAAACTCAGCCAGATGGGCGGGGTATAAATATTAAATTATTATTATTATTATTATTATTATTATTATTATTATTATTACTGGCAAAGTTGACTGGGAGAATTCAGAACCAGAAAGACCAGGACTTCCTTAAGGATTGGAAGAAATATATGCCTTATTTGAAAGACAATTGCATTAATGTAACATCGCTTGTTGGTTTACAAGAAGTTTTGTAAGGAGGACTATATAAATTATTGTAAAATGATTTACGGAGGAAATAATTAGGAGACAAAGTTTAAAAGCATTAATTATAATAATAAAATGCAAGATCAGATAAATTTGAAAATCACTAGACAGCATTGACGGAAGTCACAGGCTATCATAGCCAAAATGAGGATGATGTGATGTGATGTTTGGAAATTATATGCAAAAACTAATAAAAATGATTTAAAGAGAAAAGAGAATTTGCAGCCCTTCTCATTTCAAAAGGCACGTACGGTGGATGGCGTCTGGCACAGAGGGTCTCAAATTATGCAGGTTCGGCCTATGCAATCTTCTTACTGTGGACAAGCTGGGTTTACATTAATATGCTCAGTAAATAAGAGAAGCACACATCTCCTCTCCCTGCAGCCACCTTGCTGAAACAACGATTAAAGCAATGCTGAGAAAGGCACAGGAGTTGGAAGCGCTGAGGGCTATAGGAATGCAAGAAGAATCAGGCCATCTGGTGCAGCATCCTGCTCTCTCGGTGGCCAGAGAGATACCCTTATGGGATGCTCACAAGCAGGACCCAAGTGCAATGGCACCATCCCCATTTGTCGTTCCCAGCAACTAGTATTCAGCAGTATGCCATCTCTGGTGGTAAGAGGTACTGCAGGGTTTACCTCGCCTGGATGGTTCACTCTTGCAGAGATCACTCCATGGGCTGGATCGCGTCTGCGCAGATGCGATTCCCTGCACCGCAGAAGTGAGTCCCCGCTCCACGCTGCATCGGTTTAGCGCAGCGCGCGGGGACTTGCCAAGCAGGCAGCTCTGTTCGGGGGCGGCTCGGGGGCCATTTAAACAACCCTCATGGACTGCTTGGGGGACATGGGTGGCGCTGTGGGTTAAACCACAAAGCTTAGGACTTGCTGATCAGAAGGTCAGCGATTCGAATCCCCGTGATGGGGTGAGCTCCCGTTGCTCGGTCCCAGCTCCTGCCAACCTAGCAGTTCGAAAGCACGTCAAAGTGCAAGTAGATAAATAGGTACCGCTCCGGCGGGAAGGTAAACGGCGTTTCCGTGCGCTGCTCTGGTTCTCCAGAAGCGGCTTAGTCATGCTGGCCACATGACCCGGAAGCTGTACGCCAGCTCCCTCGGCCAATAAAGCGAGATGAGCGCCGCAACCCCAGAGTCGGTCACGACTGGACCTAATGGTCAGGGGTCCCTTTACCTTTACCTTTACATGGACTGCTTGTGGCCTATGGGCCACAGGTTGACGACCCATGAGGTACTGCATAGCCATTTTATAGTCTGTCTTTCGATAGCAACCAACAGGTGGGACAGGGAAGTAGATACGTTGGAAATTTATTGCATGGGAAAATATGGAAATATTCCCTCATTAAAATAATACATATAATGGAGTAAACGTTTTTTAAAACAACAAACAAGCAGCACATCCATTCACCAGACGTTATCCTGTTCAGCCTGAGCTAAAATGAAATGGATGCTTAAAAACCAACTTGTTGGTTAGAAGGAAATGTCGTAACAAGGGATTAGATCTAGATTTAAGCCTTGCCCATGAATTGCTCCAAAGGATTAAATGAATGTTTAACCTGCCTTTCCTCATATGAACTTGCCTGAACCCTCAGATGTGCCGCCTCCATGAGAACAAAAGGAGATCAAGCTACGTTCTGGATCAAGCCACGGGCAAATTGGAGCCAGAATCCTGTTCTTACAGGGACCAATCAGATGCCTAGAATTCCTTTTCATTTCACAACAGCAAGGGGAACAGAGTTGTCTAACTAGAAGACAGTATGAACAGAAGGCAGATCCACACCACCCTGGGAACTGCAGTTTGTTAAGGGTGCTTTGTGAGTGTGAAACTACAGTTCCCAGAATTCTTTGGGGGAAGCCATGTGGTTTAAATATACTTTGGATGTGCTTTAAATATACGGTGAAACATCCTATCGGTGTCCTATTAAAGCATCTGAACCATTTATTTATAGAAGCATTCCTTTACCACCATATCATGAAAAATATCAGGGTGGTGAACAGTGTCAAATCCTTAAACCCTTCAAAATTTAAAATACAGATAATCATTAAGATGGATGGCTAATCAAAATAAAAATTAAACAACTTCACAGGCCTGTTGGCATAATAATGTATTCAAGATACACCTAAATATCAAAGCAGCAGGGGAAAAGCTGTGGATAGGGCACATGAGATAATATCTAATGTGTTATTGCGGCTGATTTTTATTATTATTATGTTATTATCATTTTTACAATGCCTACATTGTCTTATACCAAGCCAATTGGTTCATTTAGCGCAGTATTGCTAACAAGTCAAACAACCCATACCATCACAAATTTCTTCCTAATGTTTAGTTGGAATCCCTTTCCGGTAATTTGAAAGCTTGGCCTGAATCCTACCCTCTGAAGCAGCAGAGAACAAATTTGCTCTATCAAATATTTGAAGATGACTATTGATCATCCTTTCCCCAGGCTGAACATACCCGCTTCTTTCAGTCCTTCATTATATGAGTTGGTCTCTAAGTCCCTCCCCATCTTTCTCACCTACTTCTGGACCACATTCTAGTTAGTCAATTTCCTTCTTAAACTGTGACTCTCAAAACTGGACGCTGTTTTCCAGATAAGGTCTGAACAAAGCAGAACAGAGCGGTACTGTTACCCAAACCGTTACCTGGTAATGACTTGGACCACTTGACTACACAGAGGAGCTGCCTCTCACATAGTTGATTGAGGCTGGTCAACAAAGCACTTGGGGTTTCTGGTTGTGTGTTGTCATATCCTGCATAGACCACTTCCGGTTCGATGCTCTCCAAGACATTGATCAATGGAGGAATAAGCTGGACTTCTTGTGCTGGAGAAAAAGAGAGCCTTTGTGCCAGGGCTTGGCCGTCCTTAGGAAGGGCTACCGATGGCTGGAGTGCAACATCTAATGCTCTCAGCACTTTGAGCTTATTGAACTTCTTAAACTTTCGACCTGCAATCCAAAAACACACATCTAAGGGGCAGCAAACAGAAACGCAAAGCAGATAAAAACATCATGTAAGAATGCATACTTAATTCAATAAGCAGCTTTTTGTACAATCGCAATGTCATATGCATAGTAGCGCAGCTAATATTGGGAACTGGTGAGATCAGAGTACAAACCAACTCTGCTTTAAAGTTCTTAGCTAATGATGAATTGAGCCTGGACTCCTTGATGGCAAGGTGGGTAAGCTGCCGCTCACCTGGCCTCCAGTCGGCCGCATTGCTGCTACTTACAAGGAGATAGGGGCAGTGGTGTGATGCAAGGGTGCTTGGGGAGCCAGACTGAGGCCCCTGCCAGTGGGCTGGTACCATGCTGAGCTCGCCATCACCTGGTAAAAGCAGCAATGCAACTGACCAGAGGTAAGGTAAATGAAGAGACTTCACCATCTGCTACTGCTGAGGCTCCACTCATAGTTACCGTATTTTTCCGTGTATTGGAGGAGGTTTTTTGACTCAAAAAAACTGAGGTCGTCCAATACACGGATAGTGGCATGGGGGGGGGAGCAGGGCACCGCCAGCCACCCGGTTGAAGGGAGCGTGGCTTCCCCCGATGCTGCAGCAAAGGGGGAGTGATCTGGGGGGTGTTTCCTGCCTGCAGCTGCAGGGGGGGAGAAGCTGCACACCGCCAGCCAGCTCGTTGGTGGGAGTGCAACTTCCCCCAATGCCGCTGCGCATGGTGGGCACTCCCTGGATCCTTTCCCCCACATGGCAGCAACAGGGGTGGTTGCGCTCCTGCCCACGGGTCATCTCCCCTCATTTTCTTAAAATTGAGTCCCCCCAAAATAGGGGGGTCTTATACATGGGGGCGTCCTATAGATGGAAAAATATGGTAGTTTGGCCACCAAAGCAACCCTCTTCTTACCCTGCTGTAACTTGTGGTTGCCAGGAGTCTGAGAAATGTAGCAAGGACCCCCCAAGCCTTGGAAACTTGCAATTCTGTGCAATCATGGTACTGAATCAAGGCTGCAGGAGCCCTTCTTTCACTGCCAGCTATGTTTTGCAGAAAAAGAAGAGGGCAGTAGGGGCATTACGAGACAATCATAGAAACACAGAATTGTAGAGTTGGAAGGGACCCCAAGGGTCATCTAGTCCAACCCCATGCAATGCAGGAATCTCAACTAAAGCATCCATGGCAGATGGCCATCCAACCTCTGCTTAAAAACCTCTGCTTTAAAGGAAGGAGAGTCCACAACCTCCTGAGGGAGTCTATTCCACTGTCAAACAGATGTCAGATCATTCTTCCTGATGTTGAGTTGGAATCTCCTTTCTTGTAACTTGAAGCTACTGGCTCAAGTCCTACTCTCCAGAGCAGGAGAAAAAAAGCATGCTCCTTCCTCCATGTGACAGCCCTTAAGATAGTTGCAGATGGCTGTCATATCTCAGTCTCTTCTTTTCCAGGCTAAACATACCCACCTCATAAGGCTTGTTTTCCAGACCGCTGAGGTTGCTCTCCTCTGCACCCATTCCAGTTTATCAATATCCTTCTTACATTGTGGTGCCCAGTAAAATGGCACAGAAAGGCAAGGTTTCTGGGGCTTGTAGTGCTCCATTGGGCAGGTATTTAAAAAAGGGATCTCCAAGCTTACTGTGTGCCGGATGCCATCACTCAGTGCAACAAGACTTGGAGCTGAGCATAGGTCCAAGCGTACACCAAGATACTTTGGGCCTGCTATAAAAATGAATCTGAATCACCCATTTTAGGTGAACATGTTCCAAGTCAAGCTGGAGATGGTTACCTGTTATTAAACTTAAACATTTTGGGTCTATTGTTGCCTATGGAACCAACTAAGTTCGGGATCAGAGACACTATAGCTATGTAATATCATGAGCCACATCCTGGATCATCTTCTGCTAATTTAGGTTTATAGTCTGCTGTGCCCCAAAGACTCAAGGCAGGTTATAGCAATAAATGCGCAATTCTCACCCTTGCCCTGGTCTAGAACAGGGGTATGGGCTGAATGAGATCCACTAGGTCTGTGAAGCCATTTCAGCCTAGCCACGGCCACCTGCCCTACAACCCAAGGTGGGGCTTTGATAAAAGGGATTTGCAGGCATTGCCAATGGGTTGCCTGCAAACAAACTGATTGTTGGCACTTGGGAAGCCCCATGCAAAGGATGTTGCAACGGCTGACTGTTGCTACAAGGCTCTGTTTCAAATGGCATGGGCAAAAATGGGTCACCAGGTGTCACTGTAATGTCAAGTGATAGACAGGTGTGCAACCTGCCAGCCATATGCAGTGCACAAACCCTGGCCTAGAAAGTTGTGTCTGCTTATTTCATCACTTTGCTCCTGCGATTTTCCATGTTAAGGGGGCTGTTGACAGGGTTTCCCCACTCCCCCAGTATAAAATAACATGGAAATGAGTGCTAAGCAAGCACTATATTCCATTACTTTTCCAGAAGTGGCTTTTACATCATGTGAAAGTTCAAATTTAATGCAGAAATTAACAGTTTGGGGAAATGTAGGGGGAAAGGAGATCAAATGCTGTATGAATGCAGCCTTAAAAGAAGGGAAAGGGATGCTTCACAGAAGGGAGGAGGGTGCAAAATAACAGTCTAGAAAGCAATTGGGCAGGGAAATATTATGAGCACTAATTGAAATAAATGGATGCACAATAGGTATCCAATCTTTCCTTTGAATAAGGAACCTAATGAGTGCTAGTTAGATCCAATGGATGTGAAATAGTATCTGCACTGTATCTGGTTTCTATGCCTTTTAGTTGGTGAGGAGGAGGAGGAGGAGGAAGAAGAAGAAGAAGAAGAAGAAGAAGAAGAAGAAGAAGAAGAAGACGACTGTGCTGTCCGTCAGACTGGGTTGCCCCAGCCACTCTGGGTGACTTCCAACAAATTAAAACATTAAACACCATGGGGAATTAAGTCAGATTTCTGTGACTTTTAGGTTGCAATCTACACAATGCTTTTGTGGGACCAAGCCCCACTGAATACAGCGGCACTCAGTGGCACTTACTTCTGAGTAAACCTGCAGAGGTTTACATTGTGAGGAAGGAACACAGCACAGTGATGTTAGGATTTAAATTTCATGCGAAATCAGCATAAGCATGCAATAAATGGGGAAATTTGCTTCTTCCCTTTTGCAGATGTATGTCAGAAACATGGAGCAGCTTTTGAGGCAATGTGGAAATATCCAGAGAAAAACATAAAGTATCTCCCAGATCCATATTCTGCATTAGACAACATTTGGTGTTTGTCTTCTCTGGACCTTAGGAGTAGCACTGGAGGAAAAGGCAAGGGATGATCAATAGTCTGTATGGTCTCCTACAGAACTATTCATACCTAATTCTTGATTTAGATTTATTCCACTTTTCCCAAGGGTGTGGAAGAAAGTTGGAAGAGAAGGTACCAAGCTGTGCTAGACAATTCACTGCAAACAGACAAGTTTCTGTGAAGAATGCTTCACCAAATAAGTAGGTGAAAAATGTTGACGATTTATTATTTCCCGACAGACTACCATAATTCTGCCTCCGAGGTCACTCTGCCCTCTTAGTTCTCTATGTTCTCCAGAAGGAGTGGGCCCAGCCTAGAGAACAAAGCAGGTGTGATAGATCAAGATTTCAAAGACAAATTTGAAGTAACATCTTGTGAAAAATCTTACTTGCAAAAGGATTTCATTTTTTCCCCCTCCTGAGATGTGACATAGATAGGATAGCTGTTAAGTTTATTGAAAAGGGACACGAAGGGGCTCAGCGTACTAGATTCTCCAGTGATTAGTAACAGGTGGAATAATTATTTAGCCTCCACTACGCAGTTCGAAAGCACATCAAAGTGCAAGTAGATAAATAGGTACCGCTCCGGCGGGAAGGTAAACGGCGTTTCTGTGCGCTGCTCTGGTTTGCCAGAAGCAGCTTAGTCCTGCTGGCCACATGACCCAGAAGCTGTACGCCGGCTCCCTCGGCCAATAAAGCGAGATGAGCGCCACAACTCCAGAGTCGTCCGCGACCGGACCTAATGGTCAGGGGTCCCTTTACCTTTTACTAGGGATAGGCAAATTTGTCAATTCCTGCTTCTCTCAGCTTCTCATTTCTCCACCCTTTAGTTTTCCACATCTTAACATCGGTTTGCCCATTTGCCTGTAACAGTTCCTCATGAAAATTCAGCAGCACTTCTGCATGAACTTCTCAGAGTGTTTATTTGTATGCCTAAAATGCATTATTTTGCAAAGCCATGCCCCCTAATGTCATACCTCGTGTTGCGTTCCACTCTCGTTACGGACTTTCAACTTATAAACGCGGCAAACCTGGAAGTGTTTAAATTCCGGGTTCGCTGCCCGCACATGCGCAGAAGCGATCTGCGCGCTTCATGCATGCGCAGAAGTGATCTGCACGCCTTGCACATGCACAGAAGCACTCGATTGCGCCATACACATGTGCAGAAGAGGCGCTCTAGTTAAGGACTTTTCGGGGTGCGAACGGCACCCCGAAATGGATTAAGTCCGCAACTAGAGGTACCACTGTAAAATGTATTTGTGTATGTTATTTTATGCACACTTTACCACAGTGTAGGCATGTGGGGGGGGCGCACTGCTTGCCTGAAGAAATGCATTGAAAAGTTAAGAGAAGTGCGGTTTTCGAAAGACGGCTGCATTTCGTAAAGTGCAAATTGGGGAGGTTCACCAACTGAATTGCCTTCCTCTCCCTTCTTGGTGCACTGCTAGCCACAAGGAACCTTAATGCCATCCTCTCTCTCACGCCCAGCCCAGCCCCAAAGGGAAGCATTTTACAGGAGAAAAGGCGAGGCTTAATCCCCATGAAAATTCGTCAGCACTTCTGTGCAAATTTTTCCTAACGTACACATTACAGTATGCAATCATCCCTTGCGTTCATGTTTTTTTTTTTTGTAAGGCTATTTCCCCTAATATAATGCATTTGGGGATTTAAAAAAGCTAATATATGCATTCATACGCATTGTTTGCTTTAGTAAATGCATTTTATACATTGGCTGCAGGACTGCACTGAAAAATTTGGAGAAATGTGAATTTCGAAGGATGGGTGCCCTTTGGCTTACATATTCTATTGGAAAGTGTAAATTAAGTAGGTATGCCTTTAAATGTGAACTGAATCAAACTTCTTCCCCATCTCCATTGCCACACTCCATAAAAAAAAACCAACTGGATTGGGCAAAACAGTTTGCTAACCCTTGACCCTGCCTGAGGCTTCACAGAATGAGCATAATAAATATAACAAAGTAAACTAAAAATAATGTGCGATGGTGATCTGATCAGCTTTACAAAGGATTTTTTTTTTAAAAAAAAAAAATGGTCTCATTTATGCCTCTGGTCACTAATGAAATTATGATGATCTCACGGGCAAAGCCATTGTCTCTGAGCAGTAGCGGAACAATAGAGTGTTCAATCCTGCGCAGGGAAACTGTCGGAAAAATGATGACAGAGCCAACACGGGTGCCAACTGAGAAGGAGTGAAGGAATGCGACATTTAGAAGTAGTAACAAGGAAAGAATGCTTAATTGCAGTGCTATAAATGCAAATCGGAACGCAAACACCCCATTAAACAAAGCAGTTCTAGCAAATACTTATCGCTATTATTTGGCGGGTCATTACAGCTGTTGTCTTGGTTTTTTTTTTTTAAAAAAAATAGCTGCTGGCTGTTCAGAGCATAGCTGTCAACTTTTCCCTGTTCTTGCGAGGAATCCTATTTGGAATAAGGGAATGGTTCAGAGCTCTTTCCTGAGTTATTTGAAAGAAGGCTGGGCATTTCTGCTGAATTTTAGGCACAGCGGAGGGTCCCTAAAACTTGGGCATGACCAGTGACCATGCCGACACACACCCCCCTCCAGCAAAGAAAGGGGAGGAATGATTTTTGCCCTTTTGGAACACAGCACAAGACCACTAGCAACTCCCCAATCTCCCTGAACCCCTCCAAACTTGGGACTGGGCAGGGCAGCTGGGGATTCTGCCCACAAAAGAGGCTTGCTTTGGCTCTCAGCCTCTTCTCCTCAGCTTAGAGCTATGAGACTGTGGAAACATATTGGCCTACTACTGTGATTTCGAACCTGCCGGGCTCTCTTAAGCCCAGAGTGCCTGGCAAACCCAGAGACAAGCCCATGTTCCTCCATCAGTGATGGACAGACCTTGGGTCACCCTCCTTGGGTTGACCCAGAAGCCAACCAGGTCAACCAATCTCAAGAGGAAGTGGAGAATTTATAGAGAGAACCTAAGATAAAATGCTGGGTAGGACTCAGTTGGGGGGAAACCGGGGGCTGAGTTACAAAGAGACTGTGAAGTCAAGTTGAAAGAAGACTGTGAAGACCAAACTCAATACAGTGGTACCTCGGTTTACGAACCTAATCTATTCCAGAAGTCCATTCTTAAAACAAAACCATTCGTAAACCGAGACACACTTTCCCTAATGAGGCCTCCCGCCACCGGTGCCCTTCCACCGTTCGGATTTCGTTCTTAGACTGAGGTAAAGTTCGCAAACCGGGATACTACTTCTGGTTTTGTGGAATTCGTAAACTGAATCGTTCATAAACAGGACTGTTCTTAAACCGAGGTACCACTGTATGTCATGCATTGAGTGCAAGGCTAGATCTAGACACATCAAAAAAGCGTTTCAGTTGAACGCGCTGTAAATTTAAACAGGGAAAACAGGTAGAGAGAAACGCGACTCTACGTCGTCACCTGGTGGCACAATGTTATATCACACATACAACGCAAATAAATCACTTTTTCTTTACCAGCCTAGCTGAGTCCTATGTTGGCTTGACTTGCAACAACAACAACAACAACATACCCACACTGGTGCACTTTTTTCTTCAAAGGAAAAGACATTGGCAGGGTTAGCAGCTTGGGTAGGGAGGTGAATTTTGGACAGAAAATCTCAAAAGAAGCAGGCTCTGGCAGCTGCTTTTCATCAAATGGAAATAAGTTGCACACACACACACACTGTTGCACAACAGCGTGTGTAGTGTGGCCCAGTTGCAGAATGAATAGCTATAAAGCCAGATGTTGTACATCTGCACTGTGGATCAAAAGACAGTTTCAGTCTTAAGAGCTGTCAACAGTTAGAGCAATCTTTTTTTAACAAAAAAAAAATGTGTTGCCTTGCAATGGCCCCTTGAAGCAGAGAAAAGCTGAAATTTCTTAGAAGACATTTTCCGGAGAACATTTCTGAGAAGTTTCTCTTTCCTACCCCTACCTTTGCAGGATCTTATCTGAATTCTAGGCACTGTGTGTTTTTTCTGTGGTGGCCACCTTCCACCCGCATCTGCACCCGCACCCCACCCAAATTTCCCTAGCAAATTTCTGGAAATACACTAGGCGGTCCTAAGCTAAGTTTTACCCATTAGAATTAATGAACATGACTAAGGTTATGTTTACTCATATTGAGTTGAATACCTCCCTCTAGGTTGAACTCACTGTGAAGTATGCGAAGTGATGGCCAAAGTAATATACAGTGGTTAAGTACTTAATTCGTTCCGGAGGTCCGTTCTTAACCTGAAACTGTTCTTAACCTGAAGTACCACTTTAGCTAATGGGGCCTCCTGCTGCCGCTGCACCGCTGCTGTGCGATTTCTGTTCTCATCCTGAAGCAAAGTTCTTAACCCGAGGTACTATTTCTGGGTAAGCGGAGTCTGTAACCTGAAGCGTATGTAACCTTAAGCATATGTAACCCGAGGTACCACTGTATTTGTACTGGTAGAAGAAGGGAGGGAGGGGGGGACATGTGATGCTACAGTCACCACAAATGTTGAGCCACACACAAGAAATGGCTGGATAATTTCTCTTTCCCCTCATCAATGAAATGACTGTCACTCCTCATCCAAATGTTACATGTATTTCAGCTGTATTCCACAAATTTACCTGTAATTTAGTGAGCCAATCTGAACTCCACCCTTCCAAAATGCAAGATGGCTAAAGGATCTATCCATTAATGGCAATGTTAAAATTTAACAGCTTCTGAAGTCCTGGAAAGGCAGTTACGTTGCCAGCTGCTAGGATCAGAAGGTTAGCACAATGGGCTCGACTTGTTTGCTAATGATCCACGTAGGCTTGCACTGCCTCTCTCTGCGAGCAGTAAATTTAGTTTGCAAAAACCAGGGAAGTCGTGAAGGCACTCGGGGCCAAACGAGATGTGACGTTAATTAGGCAAATGCAATTAACATCCCATGTCTATTGACTTGCAAACAGCAGGCATGGGGAAGCTTGGCGGCCCTGACCAAAAAAATAAAAATAAAAATCTCGTCTCACGGAAGCTGCTATTTGTGTTTCAAAGAACATTTCCACTGACCTAAATGGAAGTTTCCCTTGAAATGCAAATAGCAACTCCTAAGAGGTGCATTATTGATCCACACCACGTCAAGGAAAGAGTTAAAAAAATTCCCTCCCTGTCTCATACATCCATGGCTGCTCCCTGCAGCTTCTATGTAACAATACAAGTTACCGTATTTTTCACTCTATAGGATGCACTTTTTCCCCTCCAAAAATTAAGGGGAAATGTGTGTGCGTCCTATGGAGCGAATGCAGGCTCCTTGGCTTCAGCGATAGCAATGCAAAGCCTCCGAAGTGCAGAGGGAGTGCTCCCTCCGCGCTCTGGAAGCTTTGCGTTGCTTTCGCTGAAGCCTGGAAAGCGAGAGGGGTCGGTGTGCACCGACCCCTCTCGCTCTCCAGGCTTCAGCAAAGGGAACCTGAAGCCTTCGGAGCGCAGCGGGAATTCGCACTGCGCTCTGAAGGCTTCAGGGATAGCCGCCTGAAGCCTCTGGAGCGCAGCGGGAACTCCTGCTGTGCTCCAGAGGCTTCGGGTTCCCTTCACTGAAGCCTGGAGAGCGAGAGGGGTCGGTGCACACCGATCCCTCTTGCTCTCCAGGCTTCGCTTCGCTGGAGAGGTGCTGCACAGTTTTCCCTTTCTGCGCAGCGCACCTTCAGCGAAGTGGGAGGAGAAATGGAAGGGGCTCCTGCCGCTTCGCTGAAGGTGTGCTGAGCAGAGAGGGGGAGAATTTTTCCCCCTGTTCTCCCCCTCTAAAACAAGGTGCATCCTATGGTCGGGTGCGTCCTATAGAGCGAAAAATACGGTAATTGCATTCACCCAATTGACATCACATCTATGGCCCTCAGGGACTAGCAGTTTGCAGGAGGCCCACGTGGAAGGTTGAGAGGGACCCTTGTTTATGCATTCCTAGGCCATGCTATCTTTTTGACTCACATGACATGTGGTTCCCTACCGCCTGCCTTTCCATAAGCAAGCAAGACCAACTTGTATTCTGTGGGACATTGTGGCAAACACAGTGCTCTTTTTCTAGAAAAAGAGGTGCCCGAACTCAACATGAACGCCTCCCATGTTCTCAATAGTGCCCAACTGAGAGGTGTTGGAACTGAGTTTCGGCTGCAGAAAAAGCCCTGGGCAAATGTATTTCTTCTGGCACTGTTAGCCAGGGTTAGAGAATAATAATAATATAATAATAACAATTTATTATTTATACCCCGCCCATTGGGCTGAGTTTCCCCAGCCACTCTGGGTGGCTCCCAACCAAGTTTTAAAAACAGTACAGCGTTAAATTAAAAGCTTCCCTGAACAGGGCTGCCTTCAAACGTCTTTTAAAGATAGGATAGTGTTTTTAATATTCTGCTGGGAGCTGTCCAGAGGGCCTGGGGAAACCCAGCCAGATGGGCAAGGTATTAAAAAAAAATTTTTTTTTTAATTATTATCATAGTAGATCTGTGCCTGGTTATATCCAAGCACGCAACAAATCCTTGCAGTTCATTATTCTGTCATCATGCGTGCTGCAGGTGGCATGCCAATGGCGCAATAGCGAAGGTGACGCCCTATGCAAGTTGTGGACTACAATTCCTATCATCCCTGAATATTGATCATGTTCCCTGGGACTTATGGGTATTGTAGTCCACTACATCTGGAAGGCACCACAATGGCTGCCCCCAGTATAACTACCTGCAATTCTGGTAACCAGCACTGTGCAACTAACCATACCAATTTGCCTTCCCCACTGCCGGCATCTCCCTATTACATCATCTCAACTGGATATGCAACAGCTCTCCAAACGCGTTTATCTTACATGTCTAAACAGCCCCCCCCAGGCTGGTTTCCACACAAAAATAAGTGTTGCCAATGTAAAATCAAACTAACGATGCAATCCTAAACACACATACTGGAGACAAAGTCCCAACAGGATATAACTTCCAAGTAAATGGGCATCAGATTATGCTCTTAATATATTTTGGGGTTTCCCCCCCTTATTTTATAATGTTTATTTATTAAAACTTTTCAACATACAATGCAATAAAAGCTAAACTCATCTAGAAAAGAAAAGAAAATAAAAGGGAGAAAAGAAAACAAACACACACAAAAGAAAGAGAAAACAGAGGAAAAGTGAAAGAAAAAATACAAAGACATCTATCAGAAGAAGATGCAAAGCCCTCTGTCTAGGATGTAGCTTAACCTTTGTCCCACACAAAAGGTGTTAGAGCCTCCTAGCTCTCACCTGGGAGCTTCCCTTTCTTCTCCCAATCTCCCCCCACCCCCTGAGAAATCTTCCCTTCCCTGCCTCTCACCCTGCCTCTTTCATCACCCATCCCTTCACCTTCCTGTGTGAATCCTCATTAACACTTTTAAGACTGCAGAGGTAAGGTCCTGCAGTTCTTATGGAAAATGCTCGGGACTTGAGGTCTGGGAATTCTCCTGCAGGAAACCATGTTTGAAAGCCCATTTGTGCGTGCTGTTGCCATCGAAATGGATGAAATAAACCAAGGGATAACCAGCTGATTCTGAGAGATCACAAAGAGGCACCATGGAGGCCTTGTCCTCAATGGCAAGACCATGCCAGGACTCAGCCAAATGGCACTTACAGAGGTTAAAACCCTCGAAGCCATGCCAGGACTCAGCCAAATGGCACTTACAGAGGTTAAAACACCCATCAGTGCCCAAACTACAATAGGTAAAAGTAAAAGGTAAAGGACCCCTGACAGTTAAGTCCAGTCAAAGGCGACTATGGGGTTGCGGCACTCATCTCGCTTTTAGGCCAAGGGAGCTGGTGTTTGTCCACAGACAGCTTTCTGGGTTGTGTGGCCAGCATGACTGAACCTCTTCTGGCACAACGGGACACAGTTTACCTTCTTGCCACAGTGGTACCTATTTATCTACTTGTACCGGTGTGCTGGGACAGAGCAACAGGAGCTCACCCCATCATGGGAATTCGAACCACCGGCCTTTCCATTGGCAAGTCCAAGAGGCTCAGTGGTTTACACCACAGCTCCACCCACGTGCCAATCCACAACAGAGAGCTGTCAACATTTCAGGCCTTGCAGCGTATCATGAATAAAAAGAAAATTGAGTAGTAAATTAAAAGTGTTGCAATGTGATGCAACACTTCTGGGTTAGAGGAGTTTGTAACCCGAAGTGTTTGTAACCCAAAGCGTTTGTAACCTGAGGTACCACTGTACTGCTTTCACATCTATGGAATGCACAAAAGTGACAATTTATGCCCCAATACCACCTGCTGACAAACTTATTAAGACGCCTTATTTGAAAGATTTATGCTTTGGAAATATAAACTGTTCCTTTCTCGTTTTGTTCGGAATTGCTGTTAACTTCCTATAAGAACAATACAGCATGACAGAGTCGTCGAGGCTGCTGCTTGCATTATTAACCCATATTTTAAACTTACTGAACGGAGGCCTTTAGAAACCCATTTACAAAACCTCGTTTTCATTTTCTTCCACGCACTGTGATTCACAAATGTTGTGATTGAACTGCAATTTTAAATACATGTAACGTATGAAAATATGTTAATCGCCGAGGTGTCTAAATCAGGTTAGCGAAATTGCTTTTATTCTTGCGTTTTACATCACACGGCTCAGTAATTACATTTGCCCTCAAACACACTTCCCAAATCATATATTAATTTCATGTGCCAGCTGAAAAAAATGGCTTTATTAATCCCATGCAGAGGCTACATTTCCCTTGAAAACATATCTCCAAGCCAATATGCAGAATTAAGAAAGAAATTTGAAAAAAGAAAACAACTCTTTAGTGGGAAAGTACCTTCCTTGCATGCAGAAGGTCATTGGTTCAATTCCCAGCATCTCCAAGCAGGACTGGGAGAAAACCCATCTAAAATCCTGAAGATACAGACTGCCAGACAGTGTAATACTGAGCTAATTTGACCAATGATCCGACTTAGCATAAGGCAGTTACTTCTGAGAAGTACTGTAAGGTAGCTATACAAATTCTTGGAGTATCCTGGAGAATCACAGCGCCTGCTGTGGCTGCAGAGACTAGTAACTTGTAACTGCTGCCTCCCACTTTGATTTTGCTGCATTAGGAGCACCCAAGTGACCTCTCTGGTGCACAAGCTGGGCTTTCTGTATGGAGCTCCTGGGCTGCCCAAACAACAAGACCCCATTCTTGGTGTGGTCTCAAGCAGGGGCGGAGCTACCTGCCTTGGCACCCAGAGTGGTGCAGGGGCAGGGCTAGCTGGCCCGCGGGCAGGGCTAGCCGCCCGCACGGCGAGCGTCCTTAGCTGCCTGCCGCCCGTGCGGAAAGCGTGGGGGGTGCTGCTAGTGTCCCTAGCCACCTGCCACCCGCGTGATGAACATGGGGGGCACCACTTGCTGCCCGTGTGGCGAGCTTCCCTAGCTGCCTGCCGCCCACACAGTGAGCTTCGGGAAGGGCGCCACTAGCCGCCCACAGCATCATCCCTAGCAGCCCGCCCTCCATGCAGCGATGTCACCCGCCATCACAGCTCCATGCGCCGCACCCCCCGCACCCACCTTCCTCCACCAGTGGTCTCAAGGAAACATTTGGCAGCAGCTTGGCTGCAGGAGATGCCAGAAGGAGGCATTCAAGGCTCCATCCCAGCTTTGCATAGGGCTTACTCCTCAGCTTTTTCTTCTTTTGAAGATAACCCGCAAGGAAGTGGAGGTTTAGGATCAGACTTTTTCTTCTCCTAAATGGGCTACTTCCCCAGGTTGATGTGTTCCATCTGCCCCTCACTTCCTTCTACAGCATGTTCAGAAAACACCTTCTTGACTGTTGGACCTACTATTGGTCTCATCCACTCCATGCACTAATGCCTGTCTTCACGTACAGGGGAAGTCCCTAATGCGCTGTATGTTTGAGATGCATTGGCTACCCTCACCTGGTTTAGCCATTCAACCGCAGTCATTCCAGGGGTGCAGCAGCTGTCTCATGCTGACAGCTTCTAGGAGCCACAGGTGAAAGCTAAGTGCAAGATGGGGACCAAAGGTGGACAAACCACCCCAGAAGGACAACCCCTTCTGTGCTTTTCCACGGAGAATTGGTGTTTGCCTCCTGAGCTGTAGCCCAGGAAAATCTGGGGTAGGGAGTTAGAACCTTGCTAGATTTAGAGTCACCTTTCTTAGGCAATGCTCTAGCACAGGGCGAAACCACTGCTGTCCCTCCTGGTGATCTGAGGTTCCATCTCTTATTGGCTCCAAGGAGAATGTCCAGTGGGGAGGGATGATGGGATTTGCTGGTCACAACTTCCCTAACCTGGTTCTAGCATGAGCAGAAGACACACAGCTGTCGTTCCTGCACTGCAGCAGGTTGTACTAGAGGGCCCTTGGGGAAGGAATTCCAGCTCTCCAAATCTTTGACTACAGAAGGAACTTTAGATCCAGCCCAGTTTCCTTACATTCGATCCATTCCTTACAACTCTGGCTGTTTCCTGTGCAGTGACAGTATGCCAAGATATCCCTGTACCAGCCCTGCCACATCTGCGCTACCCCACAGGTCATGAACTCGCACAGTCGACGTGCTCCAGTCAAATCACATTTTGCCCAGTGTCCTGTTTGCAGCCTTGGGCAGCTAATGTTTATAAACCTTGAACTACAGTTAACAAATGCTAAACGGCAAATAATGTCACAACCGACAAGCCCGTCTGTGCTTTTCCAAGGAGAATGAAAAGTGGCCTGCTATTAGTTCCCAATCAGCTGCTTGGTTTGTTTTCCTTGAATAAGTGGAAGCACTACAGCAATCCAGTGATTCACCAATACTGGCTTAAAAGCTTGTCCTTATAAGTGGAACTGAATAATGGAGACGTTGTGGTCCAGTTTGAGAACAACACCAATCCATCTCCCCCCCCCCCGCCCCCTGTTTAAGCTCCAGTCTCTTGGTACATCCAGCTCCAACCTGACTGCTTACCCATGGTCTGTTTGAGGCTAGCCAATCAGGGGTGTAAACCACAGTGGAGAGTTGGCTTCTGAAACTCCGCTTGCTTTAACTATGGTTTGTAATTCCATTCCAACCCAGCACCCTAGTTTAAAACCCTTGTTTGTTGTGTCATTCCCGCCTAGTGCCCGGCACTTTCACTGCCTTTAGCTGTTCTCCGGAAAGTGCTTATTACATCAGGGCAGAAGCAGCTGCAGAGACCTCAGCAGAAAGAATTGCAATATCTTACTATCCATGTTTCCTGGGACAGAGTAAATGACATGCTTCAATATCTACTTGAAATCTCCTCCCGCACTATGGGTAAGAAAGTCCATTATATATCAAGAGAGAAATGTCACACAGCCAGCCACTGTAATGAGAAGTTCTCATTTAATCATCAAGTGACTCTGCTGAAACTCTGCTTGGCTCCAAAAAGAAAGATGTTTTATAATAAGAATAAGAATAAGAATAATTTATTATTTCTACCCCGTCCATCTGGTTTTCCCAAATTTTTCCTGTTTTCCCAGCCACTCTGGGTGGTTTTCAACAGAACGTTAAAAACAGAATAAAACTTCAAACATTAAAAACTTCCCTAAACAGGGCTGCCTTCAGATGTCTTGTCAGATAGTTGTTTATTTCCTTGACATCTGATGGGAGGGTGTTCCACAGGGCAGGTGCCACTACCGAGAAGGCCCTCTGCCTGGTTTCCTGTAACTTTGGCTTCTTGCAGCGAGGGAACTGCCAGAAGGCCCTTGGTGCTGGACCTCAGTGTCCAGGCTGAACGATGGGGGTGGAGACGCTTAGGGCTTTAAAGGTCAGCACCAAGACTTTGAATTGTGCTTGAATCGTTTTCTGACAGATGGCATGGTGGGGCTGTGCTATTCACCTGGCCACCCCCGCCTCCCAGTTGATGGGCACTGCCATTCAAATGGTGTCTGTGCACTGTGTCATGTGACTGATTATGCAGGGTGGGGCTTACTTGCCCCCCCTAATATTTTATTCAAGTTGGCACCCCTGCCAAGGCAGCAAGGCAGCAGTTACTAGTTACCAGTCTCTGCGGCCACAGCTTCACCCCCAGAGGCACACTCCATTGTCTCTCAAGACAGATGGATGCCAACAACAGCAGCCGTTAACAGTGTTCCTCCGCGATAGCTTAACCAATCAATGTGCCCTCTGTCGTTTATATGCCACAGTTTCTGCTTTAAACTCCACCCAAAGTTTGAATGGCATGATGATGTCACAGCATGGTAAGGATGGGAGCCTTTGTACCATGTGACTGGCACTCTGGCAGACATCAGTTGTGAAAACGAGAACCCGAGGCCTCCTCCATCCAAGCAGAGGTCTGTCATGGATCCTTTAGCTGAGATTCCTGCATTGCAAGGGGGTTGGACTAGATGACCCTTAAGGTCCCTTCCAACTCTACAATTCTATGACTCTATGATTTTGTGAATCAAAACTCCCTACCTCCAAGCACCATGCCAGCTTGGCAGCATTTCCTCAAGCGGCACGCAGGGCAGTTCTTCCGGCGGATCTTGTCCACTATGCAGTCGTTCCGTCCGGCACATAAATAGTTATGTTGCCCTGTAAGGAAACAAAGGAAGAAGATGGGGGAAATGAACACTAGATTACAGAGAAGTAAAAGAAAAGGCAGGGCAGGGCAGTTCAGAAAGCTAGGGTGAATAAAGTGCAAAGCATCCAAACAAATCACTAAACTATAGCCTGGAAACAACGTTAGTCAGCTTCAATGTCAGCCTCCCTGATCTGTCTTGGAGGTGTAAACAAAATGTATAAACCGTCCTTTAGGCTAAATGCTCAACAACAACTGCTTCCAAAGTAAAAGGGATTATTATTATTATTATTATTATTATTATTATTATTATTATTCTAGCAACTAACTGGATGCTACCATCGATTCATCCGTCACTTAATTCTCTTTAATTATTGTTTCTATCTTCTTGGTTGGGTAATTAAATGCACATCGGAGGTGCTTTTATTAGCTGCAGGGGAGGAGGGGGCAAGGAGGTTCAGAAGGGAACAGCCTTGTTACTGAGAGGCTAAACAGCCACGTTTCACTTGGTGTGTCCCCCTCCCCCCCTGAATTGGGTCATATTAAAAAGGAACGAACCAATCTGTTCCTGTTTAACATGACTCAACAGATGAAAAACTAGTATCTTATGGACTTTAACAATGTAAGGGTCACCATGACATTAGCACAGCGATATTATGATCAGTCAGTTGTTATTGGTGAACTGCTTCTATTATGGACGCGGACCTCGAGTGTGTTTTTAAACATAGCCCTTGCTATCTAAGCTTGCACAAATTGCAAGGCAGTAAGAGAGAGAAGAAACAGGCTTCCTTTTCTCCCCTCCCCCCATTCTTTTTTAGTTAATAACTTATTAAAGCCTGCTGGTAACCAGTGTAATAATAATAATTTATTTCTTATACTTTTAATATGTAATGTTTTATTATGTTTATATATGTTGGAAGCTGTAGTGGCTGAAACAACCCAGTCAGATGGGTGGGATACAAATAATGAAAAGATGATGATGAAGATGAAGAAGAAGAAGAAGAAGAAGAAGAAGAAGAAGAAGAAGAAGAATCCCGGCCCATCTGACTGGGTTGCCCCAGCTACTTTGGGTGGCTTCCAACAAAATATAGCATCAAACATTAAAAACCTCACGATACAGGGCTGCCTTCAGATGCTTTCTAAAAGTCAGGTGGTTGTTTATTTCCTTGACATCTGATGGGAGGGCATTCCACAAGGCGGGTGCCACTACCGAGAAGGCCCTCTGCCTGGTTCCCTGTAGCTTTGCTTCTCGCAATGAGGGAACCGCCAGAAGGCCCTCAGAGCTGGACTTCAGTATCAGGGCTGAACAATGGCGGTGGAGACTCTCCTTCAGGTATACAGGGCCCAGGCCATTTAGGACTTTAAAGGTCAGCACTAACACTTTGAACTGTGCTCGGAAATGTACTGGGAGCCAGTGAAGAACCTTTAGGACCAGTGTTATATGGTCCCGGTGGCTGCTCCCAGTCACCAGTCTAGCTGCCGCATTCTGGATTAGCTGCAGTTTCTGAGTCACCTTCAAAAAAGTAGCCCCATGAAGAGCACATTGCAGTAGTCCAAGCGGGAGACAACCAGCGCTTGTACCACTTTGGCAAGACAGTGTGCGGGCAAATAAGGGTCTCATACTAGCCTACCCCGCAAGGGTGTTGTGGGGATTAAAGCGGGACAAGGAATGAACCAAGCCTGCCACACAGAGCTCCCTAAATGAGGTCAGTATATAAAAGTAATAAACATTGACTTAGTCAGAGTAGAACCATTTAAACCAACGGGATTTTAAGTAGATCCAGACGTTGCCAAATCAATGAGAGTTAGTATTGGTTAAAAATGACTTAAGTCCCACTGAACAGCAGGCCAATCAGGCACACAGGCTACTTGGTCACAGTCTTGCTCCCTACAGTATTTCTGATTAAACTATGGCAGGCTTCCTCAACCTCAGCCCTCCAGATGTTTTTGGCCTACAACTCCCATGATCCCTAGCTAGCAGGACCAGTGGTCAGGGATGATGGGAATTGTAGTTTCAAAACCTCTGGAGGGCCGAGGTTGAGGAAGCCTGAACTATAGTAATTATTACTAAATTTCCAAGCAGGTTCTCTCCCAGATCTACCTCGAGATGGCAGGGATTGAACCCGGGAAATTCTGCATGCCAAGCAGATGCACTGCCACTGAACCACGGCCCTTCATGACAGATGCCATTTGAGAAGGCCCAAGTTGGCTCCGCAAACATCAGGGGCACGGACTGCCCTGAAGAGGGTCAGCCACAGACTCCAAACTAATGGACTCCTCTGGGTTTTTTTATATCGCACATTAGACTTTGACCACAGCTGTCCAATCCATCTGAAGCTGTGGAACCTGGCTTTAGGAGGTTCAAAGAGCAGCAGGGGACTGTTTGCAAAAGGGCTTTCAAAGAGCCCGGTTTTGGCCTCTGTAGTCCCAACAATTGAGGGTTCAAAGTGCAGCAGCACCATCACCTGATATCATACTGGTGTCAGATGATTTGGCCTATCAGGGTCAGGGAAATAAGGATCCATTCCACTTGCCAGAACACGTTCCCCATCCCTGCTGTAGGCACTTATCCCTGGCAGCTTTGTAGCGCTTGGCCATTGCGGTCTCTTTGTAAACAGGGTAAGAGCTTCCTTACACTAATTTAGGCTGCAATCCTATACACACTGTTCCTTTGAATTCAGCGGGGCTTACTTCTGGGTAAACATGTATAGGCTTGAGCTGTCAGTTATCTGCACAACGCGGAGGAAAAGAGAATCAAATCCCGTCTAAAATAATTAGGAAACAATTTGCTGATTTGCCTAATGCAGGTAATTTGGATTCTTGTTTGTTTCCCTAATGTATTAGTTCTAAACATGTGAATATTTGTGTCCAGTTGAAGAAGTTGAATAGATTTTGGAGGGAATAATAAGAAGTATATTTTAAATACATATGCAGACACACAAATCATCTCAGGTTAATATCTGTGCTTTTAGAATGCAGAAACCAGCCCTTTGACCTTTGCATTCAAATTCCAGCATCTCCCTGAAGGGTAGAATGTGTGACTAAGAGGGGGGAAATATGCAAGGCATTTGCCTAATTTCAAAATTACAGTATGATATTGAACTGCACCAACCCATCTGCCTTAGTGTGCTGCAATACTTGAGATTCTTCTGGCCATATTCCATTCGGAATACCATTTTCCTGCTATGCTGTCTCTCTGCCCAGCCTACCTCACAGAGCTGTTGTGAGGATGAAATGGAGAGGAGGTGAACAAGCATGAATGTCACATTGAGCTCCTTGGAGGGAAGGCAAGGAATATAAGTGTAATCATAATAAAATTAAAACAAACCTTGGTTTACTGTGATGTGTGACTGGAGACAAGGGTGCTGCTGGAATAGCACAGCTCCCATCAGCAGCTGGAGCGGGTGGGACTTGGACCACTCTAACATATGGAGGGCCACCGCTTCCTCATCCCTGGTGCAAAATCACTTCTCCACAAACCCAAAGTGGGTGGGGAAATATTGGAAATGATGGGAAGCTCAAAGGAGCCTGCCGGGTTCTGCTGGTGACTGCAGCAGACAGAGTGTGGTCCAAGCTCCACTAACCGCCTCATCAGTCCTGGCACACCTGTCTGCCCACCCATGTGAAAAGGAAGCAGCCTAGTTTTGTTTTTTTAAGGTATATCCCACCTTTGAAATGGGACGCAGGTGGCGCTGTGGGTTAAACCACAGAGCCTAGGACTTGCCGATCAGAAGGTCGGCGGTTCGAATCCCCGCGACGGGGTGATCTCCCGTTGCTCCGTCCCTGTTCCTGCCAACCTAGCAGTTCAAAGCACATCAAAGTGCAAGTAGATAAATAGGTACCGCTCCAGCAGGAAGGTAAACGGCGTTTCCGTGCACTGCTCTGGTTCGCCAGAAGCAGCTCAGTCATGCTGACCACATGACCTGGAAGCTGTACACCGGCTCCCTTGGCCAATAAAGCGAGATGAGCGCCGCAACCCCAGAGTCGGTCAGGACTGGACCTAATGGTCAGGGGTCCCTTTACCTTTACCAGGTCCCTTTACCTTTACCTTTGAAACAGGTAAAACAGGTGGTCTCCCATCCAGGTACCAACCAACAGCAAGCAACGCAACTGAGCCAGTGTCCTGGCAGCAACATCACTGCCATATATCGAGACTGGTCAGAGATGGGGCAGAGCAGTGAGTTTGGGGCAGCCCCTATCTATTATACCCAGCAGAAATCCCCTTTGCATAATGAAGGAATAACTATGACCCTTCCCTACGACCACAAGATGGAGGGAGAAGAATTGCACCCACCAGGCCCAAGGATAGTTCTTTTGCATCTGTTCCAGGCCCTTCCCCGACTGAAGCCCTAGATGCAGGCCCTTCTTGACCTCCTTTCCCTAACTTACAAAGATTGGAAAAGAATTCCCATGGGTGCCACAGCAGTTCCAGAGTTGCTGGGAGCCATGGTAATTACAAATTACCATGGTTCCCACAAGTTTCCCACAAGTTTCCAGCACCTAAGGGAGGTGATGCTGTAGCACTCAGTGAGAATCCTCCACCTTAGCGACTGAGGCAAAGGAGGCATGGGAGAGGTTTAGGCTGGCTGGTGCAGTGGGGTTCCCCGAACTGTTAAGATGGGTGGGAGTCATCTGCTGTATAAAGAGACAAGGTCCACCCCACAGGCTCACTATCTCAAGGAGGAAAGCATCAGATACCAACCAGAAATTATTAAGCTCCCTAAATACAGAATGGTGCTGAGGATTGGTTCCTTTTCCCCTCTTCAGCCCCACAATAAATACTACCGGTAAATTGGGAAACTTCCAAGTCAAGAACCCCGTGCTTTGCTTGCTTCGAACAGCAGCCATGTGTAAAGCTCCAAAAATAATGATTATTGTTCTACTACTGCAAGAAATATATTAGCACAATACATAAAGCACGCATCTGTCAAAAGTGAACCACGGCGCCTATTGTGCAGATGCAAAGGTGAGAGCAGGCAAGCAAAATGAAATAGCACCCAATACAACGTTGGCAGATAATTGGATTAACTATGGAAACAAAACTGATTAAGGGGCCGTTAATCATGGTGCACAGGGCAGAGCTGCTTCAGAAGCAGATAAATGGGGGAGCCAGGAATCGATTTCCAAAAGGAGAGTTGCCAGGGATGCAGACTGCCACCTAATCCCAAAAGATATTCTCATAACATGCAAGTGGTCTGGTCAATACCGGACAGCATTGCAACCTCCCTCCAGCTGCGTTACTGCTGCATACCATGGGTAGGGGGACGAGGCAGTGGCAAGGTGGGTGCGGTGAAAACACACCAGCAGGAGGGCAGCATTGATTCCACCAGCGTGCCAACACTGCACCAACCTTACTGCCCCCTATCTCAGTATGCAGAAATGTCTCAGCTGGAGGTAGGCCAGGTGAGAGGGGCAGCACCACCTGTCTGCTGCTGGGTCTGCTTGTTAATCCCACTCATAACACCCTTCACAGGATCAAAGTCTATCCTGGAAGACAGTCCAGAAGCTATGGACCCATAAACAGCTTGTGACACAAGTACCTGAGGCAGCATCTTCCCCAGCACCAACAAACTCAAGACGTTTTGATCAGGAGGAGATGCTCTGCTGTCCATAACAGAAGCTAGAAGGGTGGTGGCAGGGCATTCTTGGTGGTAGCACCCTGTCTACAGAACTCCCTCCCAGGTGACATTTTGTTTTCCCCAGCCACTGACATATTTAAACAAAGGCTCAAGTTAATCCAAGCATCTGTAACATGAACTGTAGTGTTTGGGGCTCGTGGTTTTATAGTTATCTGTTGCTGCTTTTTATTTGTCTTGTTATTTTATTTGTATGGTATGGCCGGTCTAGTTTTCCATGTATGCTAACCCATTCTTAGCTCACATATGCAGGAAGTGGAAGTATAAAAGTATCAAATAAAGTCATAGAAGCCTTTATTTTAATTCACCCATCCACATATTCCACTAAGCCACCTGGCCAAGAAATTCCAGAGTGTAGCCCACTTCAGATTGCTCATTTCCAGAAGAAGAACCAAACAGGATGGAATCCTAGTGTCTCTGGAAGCCCATTGGGAAGAATGGCAGGATATAATTAGAAATGACATTGATAATGATATACTGTTTAGCTGATCTCCTCCAGTCATCCTTGGGTGCCTCCTTCCAGTCATTACTGGAAGGGGGCTATTCCAGGGAGGCTTTGAATCTAGTGGATCCCAAGCCCTCATCTTCAAGCACAGACCCTGGAATGGGGGTGGGGAGGAGAGAAGTATTTCAGCCTTTGCATAATAGGAAGTAAAAATGTTTTCTTTCAAAAATAATAATAATTACCAACTGATGGGAAGAGGAAGAGGGTCTATTCCTACCTTCCAACCCCGATGGTGCAAGTCTAGCAGGGCTTCAGATCTGCCTATCTGCCTGTCAGGGCGACTTTCTCCTCCCACTGAGCCTATAGGACTGCTCTGTAACAAAGAGTCTTGCTGGCACCAAAAAGGCGAATAGATTTATTGCAGCACAACTATCGTCCCGCTTCACCAGATCCCAGATTATGAATGTTTATGCCGCCATAAATCATTTAATCTTGAAAGTGCCAAGAGGCTCTGTGTTGTTTTTGCTGCAAACACGGCTTTGTTTCTGCTGCAAAAAAAGTTGCTGCTTCTCTGGTAACGGGGATCCAGAACGTCTTTTCACAGGGAATGCCGGCGGTGTGCGTGGGTGGGGGAAGTTACATGGCAACAAATTCTGACACAACCAAGGGATCACAGGTTCACTTGGGGAAAATGAGCTCCAAGCCCAGACATTGCCAATGTCAAAAAATGCTTCGCACAGGGCAGGAGTAGTAATGCCTGCCAACTGTGTGGCCCAAGGATCCAGCTGATGATTCAGAGAGCCTCCTCCAAACTGAGACTGCCAAGTATGGAAACTGTGGTCACCTTAATCAATACGACAAACCAGGGTAGGGAACCTCAGGTCAAGGGGCTAAATATAGCCTTCTAGGCCATGGGTAGGCAAACTAAGGCCCAGGGGCTGGATCCGGCCCAATCACCTTCTAAATCCAGCCCGTGGACAGTCCAGGAATCAGTGTGTTTTACATGAGTAGAATGTGTCCTTTTATTTAAAATGCATCTCTGGGTTATTTGTGGGGCCTGCCTGGTGTTTTTACATGAGTAGAATGTGTGTTTTTATTTAAAATGCATCTCTGGGTTATTTGTGGAGCATAGGAATTCATTCTCCCCCCCCCCTTTCAAAATATAATCTGGAACCCCACAAGGTCTGAGGGACAGTAGACCGGCCCCCTGCTGAAAAAGGTTTGCTGACCCCTGCACTAGGCCTCTCTTTTTAGCCTTCAGAATTCTGTGCAGACCACACCCCTTCCCTGAAGGCCACACCCCTTCCCTGAAGGCCACACCCCTCCCTGGCCCTGCTTCACACCCCAAGTGTTTTTGCCTGGGCTGGGATGTAATTCCTCTTATTTGCCTGGATGGAGGAAGGAGGGGGTGGGTGTATGTGTGTAGAAACTATCCTACTGTACAAAGGAAAAAATTGCATTGGTTGCTCTGTCCAGTTCTGTCTCTGGCCCACCACTGCCGTGTGCCCCTCAGAAGGAAATGTAACCCTTGGGATCCAAAAGGTTCCCCTTCCCTGTGTCAAACTGTTAATCCTGCATGGAACAACATTAATACAATAGCATCATTCAACATCCTGCACATAGAAGTTCTATTTCTTTGGCTCCTTGAAAATCAGCTGCCCATTCACAGAATCACAGAACCATAAAATCGTAGAGTTGGAAGGGACCCAAGGGTCATCTAGTCCAACCCCCTGCAATGCAGGAATGTCACCTAAAGCATCCATGGCAGACAGCCATCCAACCTCTGCTTTAAAACTTCCAGAGAAGGAGAGTCCACAACCTGCCAAGGGAGACTGTTCCTCCACTGTCAAACAGCTCTTACGTCAGAATGTTTTTTCTGGTGTTTAGTCAGAATCTCCTTTATTGTAATTTGAAGCCATTGGTTCGAGTCCTACCCTCCGGAGCAGGAGAAAACAAGCTCACTCCATCTTCCATGTGACAGCCCTTGAGATATTTGAAGATGGCTATCATATCTCCTCTCAGTCTCCTCTTTTCCATGTTAAATACACACAGCTCCTTCAACCGCTCCTCATAAGGCTTGACTTCCAGAGCCTTGATGGCATAGTTGACAACTTTTCACTTTTCTTGTGAGGAATCCTATTCGGAATAAGGGAATTTCCATTAAAAAGGGGGAAACGTTGACAGCTATGTGATGGTATTGTTCACCCTCCTCTGCACACATTCCAGCTTGTCAACATCCTTCTTAAATTGTGGTGCCCAGGCTTGAACACAGAATCCCAGATGTGGTGTCACAGGTTTCCCACTAATGGTCTAGAGATTCTGGACCAGTCTTCTAGAAACTGTCAGCATGTGACAGCAGCCACATCCTCGGAAATGGCTTCGACTGGCTGGCTAAACCAGGTGATGGTATAATAATAATAATAATAATAATAATAATAATAATAATAATTTATTATTTGTACCCCGCCCATCTGGCTGGGTTTCCCCAGCCACTCTGGGTGGCTTCCACAGGGACCAAAAATACACTAAAATGTCACACATTAAAAACTTCCCTGAACAGGGCTGCCTTAAGATGTCTTCTGAATGTCAGGTAGTTGTTTATCGCTTTGACATCTGATGGAAGGGCATTCCACAGGGCGGGCGCCACTACCGAGAAGGCCCTCTGCCTGGTTCCCTGTAGCTTTGCTTCTCGCAATGAGGGAACCGCCAGAAGGCCCTCGGCGCTGGACCTCAGTGTCCGGGCAGAACGATGGGGGTGGAGACGCTCCTTCAGGTATACTGGGTATCCAACTCCTTCAGGTATACTGGTACCTGCTGGGTATCAAACCCTCAGTGAATTAGGAACTTCCCCTGTATGTGAAGACAGGCTCTGGCAGATTGACTGGATGAGACCAACAATGGGTCCAATGGTCAAGGAGGTGGTTTCTGTGTGATCTGTAGAGGGGCAGATGGGGCTCATCAACCTGGGAAGGTAGCTCATCTAGGAGAAGGTAAACTCTGACCCTAAACCTGGGCTGCCTTGCAGGATATCTTCGGAAGAAGAAAAGGCTCAGGAGTAAACCCGACACAAACCCAGAGTGGACTCCCTAAGAAGGTTGGATGGTATCTTTCACATCTCCTTCTGGCAACTCCTATAGCAAAGCTGGTGCCAAACATATTGCTCTGCTTTCCTTTGGACCACATCAGTGATGCCAAGAGGGGGTTCTTGTCATCTGGGCAGCCCAGGACCTCCATACTCACTGCCTAGGCTTGCACCCTGGGGAGGTCACTTCGGTGCAGCTAATGCAGCAAAGACAACATGAGATGCAGTCATCACTAGTAACGAGTCTCTGCAGCCACAGCAGGCGCTGCGATTCTCCAGTGGTTTGACTTCCCTGGAGGCACATTCCATTTTCTCTTGATGCAGACCAAAAACATTCTTCTCGACCAGGGTGAAGGGCCACCAAAGAGTTCAAAGAGGGAATACAAATGTTACCAAGAGTGCAAACTCTTAGCAGATGGTTTCCTTTTGCTGCTCTAATTACTGGGTTGCTATGTACTGACATGGGTTGCTATCAGAGAACCTGTTTATTGTACATTCATCTTGAGTGGTTTGCACAAAGTTTATGGGAAGGCTATACAAGACTGACAAACAGCCAAACATCCTTGCTGATTTATTTGAGGGGAGGCTCTTATTTGTTTCAGAAAATGGAGTTTGTTGCCCAAGAACCCCACAACCACAACACAATTTTTCCATCCACAAAATTGTGAGGGGCTGAAAGCAGTGACTCTGAAACAGTGACTGCCACCAGGATACTACAGTTCAATTGTATAAAGAAGCGAAACAGAAGTAACTTGGAACTGTCTGCTGTTAGTCATGTCATGCTGTTAGAGTCGTATTAAAACTGCTTAGAGATGTGAGGGCATTCAGGGAGCACAGAAACTACCTGCAACAAGAGCTCTTACTGTCAGAAAGTTCTTGTGGCACCCCTCTAGTCACTGTTTTCCAGGATGACAAGGAACCATTAATGACTACTCTTTGGGTTTGGTCAGCCAACCAGCTACAAATCCCCCTAACAGTTACCTCGCTCAACCCACATTTTACCAGCTTCCTCACAAGAATATCTTGGGAGATTTTGTCAAAAGCATGACTGAAATCAAGATACACTATGCCCACAGCATCCCCTTGATCCACCAAGCTTGCAACTCTACCAAAAAATGAATGTAAGTACAGCATTTTTCGCTCCATAAGACACACCTGACCATAAGACGCACCTAGTTTTTAGAGGGAGAATGCAAGGGGAAAAATATTCTTTAAAGGGAGCGCTGGGCAGAGCCTGTATGCATCCCAGGCTCTGCTCAACGCTCCCTTTCACAAGCCGTGTGGAGCGTGTGTGCGGCGCTTGCTGGTTTTTCTCTGAGGAGGGAAAAGGGCAGCCCATCACTGACGGGCTGTCATTCTACCTCCTTAGGGAAACTTCTACAAGAGCTGCACACACGTTCCGCGCGGCTCTTTAAAGGGAGTGCGGCTCTTGGGGGTGTTTGCGGGAGGTGGGGGAAGGGACAGAGCTGCATACTCTGTCCCTTCCCCCACCTCCCACAAGAGCCGCGCGCTAAGCCAGAAACCAGGACAGCAAGCGGGATCGCTGCATAGCGATCCCGCTTGCTGTCCTGGCTTATGGGATAGCTGCGCGCAGCCTCGCCCGGGATGGGGGATGAAGGCTCCCCCAAGAGCCATGTTCCCTTTAAAGAGCGTGCGGAGCATGTGTGCGGCTCTTGGGGGCTTTTCCCCAAGGTGGGAGAAGGGCAGCCCTTCTCCCTCCTCGGGGAAAAGCCCCCAAGAGCCGCACACACACTCCATGTGGCTCTTTAAAGGGAGCGCTGAGCAGAGCCTCCTGCCTGCATTCGCTCCATAAGACGCACACACATTTCCCCTTACTTTTTAGGAGGGAAAAAGTGCATCTTATAGAGTGAAAAATACGGTAAATTGCCTCAAAGTAACACAGGTAGAAAATGATTTGGGCCAATACGGTACTTGCAAACCATAGGATATGGTTTTTGGTTGTTCTTTTTTTGTGTTTGTGTTTTGCAAACACAGCCATGCTTTCACACTGAATTTGCACGAGGGCAAAACCCTGTATTTCTGAAGTGAGCAGCCCAATTTCCACATTTGCAGTTGACACCCACGCACATCTGAGCAGACACCACCTTGAACAGGCATGCCGTGTGTGTGTATGTGTAAAGGGAAGATGGGGAACACCACCTGCAGTTTTTATAGCAAACGGTATTTTTATAAAATGAAAAGCAGAGCAACCTATTGCCAGATTAATGGGGGCATCTTTTTCATCAGTCAAAAGGGGAAAGAATGCGGCTCAGTGGGGAGGGCTGCAGAGGATCTGTCAGGCATGCAGGAGGTCCTGGTTTCAACCCTTGCTTGGTGTCACAAGAAAGGGCTGGGAAAATACCTTGACTGAAACCTGTTTATCTCCAATGCAATTTAAAAAATCTATTCGAAGTTGTTGAGAGTAGCCAAGAGGTGCATGGGGGCAAGGTGTCTGCATCAGGAGAGGCTGTGGAATTCCTGAGCTGGTGCCTAGATGAGATGGGAGGATAGATGAGGAAACACCAGCCAAGATTGAATCCTGGCAGGATGGAAGCATTGTGGGTGAGGTGCCATACTTGAGAAATTGGTCAACTGCCAACCCTGGATGAGGTTGCTCTCCCCCTGAAGGAACAGGTTCACAGTCTGAGGGGGCTTCTGGATCAAGACCAGATACCCTCAGTGGCTAGGAGTACCTATTACCAGCTGTGGCTGGTGCAACAACTATGGCTGTTCCTGGACTGGGAAACCTTGGCCACTGTAGTTTGGTTACTTCAAGACTGGATCAATGCAATGTGCTCTATGTGGGGCTTCCCTTGCACTTGATTCAGAAGCTGCAGTTTTTACAGAAGGCCGCAGCACGGTTGCTGGCATGAGTCGGAACCTGTCAGCATGTAACAACTCTGCTCAGAGATGTTTCTGCACTTGTTTCTGATGATCAGCCAAGTCTAAGGTGTTACTATTGGGACCAGTTTACCTGAAATACCGCCTCTGCCACTTCAATTTGCAGAACTGCCGCTGTTACAGATGCCTCATAGTACTCATCTCTGCATTTGTAAGAAACTGGTCTTTTAGTGTAGAGCGTTCCACTTTGGAACTCCTTGCTGATTGACCCCAAGCAGGTGCCTTCACTGTGTGCTTTCCAGTTCCTGCTTAAAACATTTTTGTTTAAGCAAGCCTATCCAGACCTGCAGGATGTTGGCATGCATTTTAATCTCTTTTTAGCGTACTGTTCATTTTCCTTAATTCCTGAATGTTTTTAATAATGCAGTTGTATTTAACCGTTTCTTACTGGCGATTTCACTCTTTCATTCTTTCTGTAAACTGTTTTGAGGTTTCGTTCCAATCAAGTGGTATATAAATCTTGTGGAAAATAAAGAAATATATATAAAAAAACTCTCCTGGAAAGCCACTGGCAGTCAGAGTAGTCTGACTTAGTAAAGGTCAGTTTCCAAACTAAGGATTTCTATTTGTGCAACAGGACTTCTCTCCCCGCAAAACACATGTTGGGGGAGTTAGTGGGAGGAGAGCAATAAAAGTGCCATTATGCAAGTTGAAATCTTTGTCCTGGCAGGACCATGACTTGCTGTTTGGTAACCCTATGTTCCTAATTAATTTAGCCAATAACTTAAGCAAACATTGCAACCCCAATGCATGCAAATGAGATGCTTGCTCATTATCCCCTCATCAACGCCCAGTTTCAGAATGAAAGCACTCAAGAACACAAACAACAAAATGCTCATGGACTAGCTAGATGCGGAGAAGTGGTAGGTGGCAACAGCTGGGGACCCCCCCCCCCAAGGGAAGAAAGCTCAGAGCCAGGGAATTGGAGGTGGGAAGATGATGAGTGGTCGGAGGGAGAAGAGTGGGAAGAAGATGGGAAAGGCGTTGAAGAGGTTAACAGGGTATAGTGAGCAGGAAGAGTCTGGGGCAGACAGCAGTCCAGAATCAGAGGCAGAAAAGGAGGGGGCCAGGAGAGAGAGAGAGGAGCAGGCTGGTGAGGAAGCCAGGGAGTCCTGCTGCAACCAGCTCCCCTCCTCCCTGGGTCCCAGGACCAGTAGAGACATGAAGAAGAAGGAGCAAAGGCAGGCAAGACCACAGAGCCTCAGATTGTTTGGGAAGGAACTGGGGGAGGAGGAGACTTAGGGAGTTGTGGGAAGGCAAGGACCTTCGGTCCCCACAACTGCCTCATGGGGGGAAAGTTCTACCAGGAAGAATTGCTGTGCTCTGTAGGCCTGGCCTCCTGAACTGCCTTGTCTCTTCAAACTTCACTGAAGCTGTGTGAGCTGTTGTTGACCTGCTCCTGTTACCTTCTCCTAACACCTGACATTAGATCATTACCACAACACAAAAGCAATCCTACACTGAAAATAATCTCTGAAATCAACGTAGGGGACAGGTAGCCCCCCAGATGTTGTTGGACTGGAGCGCCCATCATACCTGCCCATTGAGTTGGAGTCCAACAACATCTAGAAGGCTCATCCCTTTTTAAATGCAAGACACACCAACAACCATGCTAGAAAAGTATCCTTAAGTTATTCACATGACTTGCCATAATTGTGAGGTTTATCTTATTTTTTAGTTGCTGTTTCGTTAAGTTTTTTTAATAGATTGCAACTGTTTTACTGATAATTTGTTAATTATTTTATATGATGTATGCTGTATTCGCGATGTGCTGTTATGTTTTATTATGTTTTGGTTAATTATTGGTTGTAAGCCACTTTGAGGTTCGTTTGAATGAAAAGTGGCATAGAAATGCAACTAATCAATCAAATCAAATCCCTTAAAGGTTTTTTTAGGACTTGTGTTCCATATTAATAATTCCATAACAATTTCATATTAATTATTAGGCAACCATGATAATGATAAGGAATGTATAAAACTTATGACTCTTCTATATAATAATTATTACACATTCCATGATAATTATAAGGCGACCACGACAACGAATGGCACTGCACAGTACCTTCCATGGCTCTCTTGAAGAAGACTTTGCAACTTCCACAGGTAAGGACTCCGTAATGGCAGCCCGAAGCTTCATCGCCGCAGATGAGGCAGATCTTCTGAGGCAACGATTCAAAAGCATACTGAGGACTCTGGCCAGCATCTGCATCTGACCTGGAGAAAGGAAACAAAAATGAGCCTAAAAATGCATCATGAGTAAGGCAGGAAAAATGGCAAGTCTTACTTTGCAAGGGACAGCCAACGTTGCAAAGGCAGAGGTCTGGAGAGAAAAACATCCAAGTCCATAAGCACCAAAACAGTGGTTCTTCAACAGTTGTGAGGTCACCCCTACGCCAAAACTGATGAGGCATCGGCAAGTGTGTTTCTCCCAGAAACTCCAGCGGGTGCAGAATGCTGCAGCGAGGCTCCTCACGGGGTCTCTGCCACGGGAGCATATTCACCCAGTGCTTTTCAAGCTGCACTGGCTCCCGGTGGAGTACAGGGTCAGATTTAAGGTGCTGGTTTTGACCTTTAAAGCCCTTCACGGCCTGGGACCTCGTACCTATGGGACCGCCTCTCCCGGTATGCCCCACGGAGAGCCTCATGGTCCATAAATAACAACACCCTAGTGGTCCCAGGCCCTAAGCAAGTTAGATTGGCTTCAACCAGAGCCAGGGCCTTTTCAACTCTGGCTCCGGCCTGGTGGAACGCTCTGCCTCATGAGACCAGGGCCCTGCAGGATCTGATTTCTTTCCGCAGGGCCTGTAAGACAGAGTTGTTCCGCCTGGCCTTTGGTTTGGAACCAATTTGATTCCTTCCCCCTATTTCTTTTTTCTTTTTCCTTTCTCCTCCTGTGATGAGGCTGCATTTTTATATTTTAATGTTTCAATATTTTAATGTTGTATTTTAATCTTGTTTTTAAATTGTATTGGTTTTTTATTATTGCTTGTTAGCCGCCCTGAGCCAGACCTTGGCTGGGGAGGGCGGGGTATAAATAATAATAATAATAATAATAATAATAATAATAATAATAATTAAATGCATCCATCAATTACATATAAAGTGCCGGAGGTCCGATTTTACGAACAAAAACAAAGCCCTCAGACCACCTACAGACTGTCTCCCTACAGCTGGTTGGGGAACGTCCGGCACTCCAGATGTTTCTGAACAAGTGTGTCCAATGGCCAGGGATCCTGGGAGTTGTAGTTCGGCGACATCTGATGTGCCAAAAGGTTCCCCTTGCCTGCCCTCTGGTCTGTCACTCATGATGCTCATCTGGTACAGTACCTCCTACTAGATGTGAGCCAAGTGGAGGGAAAGCACCAGGGGAGGAGAGATTTATGGAAGGTAAGATGAAGATGGGGGGGGAGCAGCACCCCTCACCTGTGCAGCTGATTAACATTGAAAACTGCACTGTTCCCCACATGTTGCTGACATGTGTGCTATCCACTATTGGTGTGGGGAACCTTTGGTCTTTGAGATGTTGCTGAACTTATTTGTGCTGTTATCTTCCTCACTGGGTCATGCAAACCACAATTTTGAATAATGCTCTATATAGCGTTAGGTAGGGGGTGCCAGGGATGAATTTGTGGAACCATGGGGATAGTTGCTGAAGAGATTTGGGGCCACCGTTATACAGATTTACAGTGGTACCTCGGGTTAAGAACTTAATTCGTTCTGGAGGTCTGTTCTTAACCTGAAGCACCACTTTAGCTAATGGGGCCTCCTGCTGTCGCTGCGCCGCCACTGCACGATTTCTGTTCTCATCCTGAAGCAAAGTTCTTAACCCGAGGTACTATTTCTGGGGTAGCGGAGTCTGTAACCTGAAGCGTCTGTAACCTGAAGCGTCTGTAACCCGAGGTACCACTGTATAGATGCTTATAGATTCTAAAAATTTTAAGTTTATAAACATATAGCATACTTGCATTTGTCTGTCCTGAATTTCCCTCTGCTGAGTTCCATTTAATGATCCCCACCCAGCATCGAAGAGGGAGAAAAACTTCCCTGTACAGTGGTACTTCAGGTTAAGTACTTATTATGTTCCGGAGGTCTGTACTTAACCTGAAACTGTTGTTAACCTGAAGCACCACTTTAGCTAATGGGGCCTCCTGCTGCTGCCACGCCTCCAGAGCCCGATTTCTGTTCTCATCCTGAAGCAAAGTTCTTAACCTGAAGCACTATTTCTGGGTTAGCGGAGTCTGTAACCTGAAGCATATGTAACCTGAAGCGTATGTAACCTGAGGTACCACTGTATCCATTTTCTATGCACCCTGCATCGTTTCATAAACCAAAATGTTTCCTCCTTCGTTCTGTTACAGTAACGCAACACCAAACAAAAACTGCCTCAAAAATTAAGCGCTCCTGAACTTTGCACTCCTGCTGATTAAAAAAAAAAAAGCCTGCCCCCACGTGGAGCAAAACCCACTTCAGCCTCACCAAGTTGTATTACCCGAAAGGCAATTCCGCTTTTAAAATGCTCTCAGTGAACAACATACCTAAGCGCTCTCTCCACCAAGCAGTGGCAGAGCACATGAGGCAACAGGCACACTCACAGGGTCTGCGTCTCTTTGGCAGTGCCGGATTTCCATATAAGCTAAACAACTATAGCTTAGGGTTCCCACTCTCTTGGGGGCCCTAAGAAATTTTATAGGAGAAAATAACTGGGCATACATTTCCAACATATAAGATAAAAAAAAAACCAATAAAATAAAACCTACATACAGCAGCAGTGTTTTGTGTTGTCCTATTAGGTCCATAAATTACCATATAGCATATATTCCACACACAAAACAGCGACAATTTGTTGTTGACAAAGGAGAGCTGGATATTTAAAGGACCCCATTACCTTCAGCAGCTTAGGGCAGGCATAGGCAAACTTGGCCCTCCAGATGTTTTGGGACTACAACTCCCATCATCCCTGACCACTGGTACTGTTAGCTAGGGATGATGGGAGTTGTAGTCCCAAAAACATCTGGACGGCCGAGTTTGCCTATGCCTGGCTTAGGGCCTCATCAAAGCTAAATCCAGCCCTGCCCTTTGGAGAATAGAAGACACAGCGGAGACTGCCGTGCATTAAGAAATAGGATTTATTCACCAATTTACACCTTCCGTCTGCATGGAAGAAGTCCAGACCTTACAGCATGCACATTTTCAGAGGCACAAGTACCCTGCAAGCTGCTTTCCTCAAAGATGGATCCCAGCCTCGCTCCCCCCCCCTTCCTCCTCCTCCCAGGAACCCCTGCTTCAAAGCTCCATTTCCTGCCCCCTCAAACACACAGTTACCTTTGTGCCACCTGACTCCCCAGGCCAAAGGATGCGTTTATCAACACCTTTAAAAAAAAATAATGCTAACAGACTTGCTCTTCGCCCAGCCATCCAGGCTGGCTTGAATAAGCCAGCACAGGAATTCCCTGAATTTCCTTGTTTGGCACAATTCTATATTATCCATATCCCAAAATCCTAGCATTTATTCGTTCCTAGTGTTTAGGGGGACACCCCCGCCTCCTCCCCCACCACCATTCTATAAGCAATACATTCTATAGCCCAAGTCATCACCCAGTTTAACAGAAGCACCCTCAAGTGAGATCTTTGAGTCTCTCCAGCCGAGGATGCACTAAATGGTGTCTTCCAGGGAGGGCTGGCAGGAGTAACATCGCTGACCAAAAAACGACCGCATCCTGTCCTCCACCCACCCACTCACCCACCCCACCCCCCCGCTTCCCCATGGAAGCGCCACGTTGCACCTCCTTCCTCTCATTAGTAATGAAATATCGCTGTTGTGAAGAAACCTCAAATTAATCAAGCCCTGAGAGATCACACCATTTACCAACTTCAATGGAACTTCATCTGAGCTGACCACAAGCAGGCTGGGGGTTGAGTATTGCACAATCTACTTTTCCATGCAGCCTTCTAGCGCGCTTTGATGCTGCCTTCCTTTATAGCCTAGTCTCAAATCTTAGAACCTTTTAAGAATATATTCTCCACCAACAAGAAGCAGAAGGGAAGCAGCTTCCTCAGTACAACTATCTGCTGGCATATACCTAATGTCCGTGCATTTAATATCCATTGGAGGTAGGATTCTCTATGTGTCACTTTTCCAGCTGGATTCAAGAACTTTGCTAGCGTACTAACTTTTCAACATTCTTAGCTTCGTGGTTTCTGCTAGTGTCTGATACACAGATTTCTAGCATTTATTGCATGTTAAGGACAAAAATTGTATTTTTCCTTGTCGGCCGGGAAATGTGCATTTTTGAATTTGAGGTTTTCAGAGGTTTTGTGGGAGTGCCAGCTAGCAGACTTTTGAAGTGCTCTATCAGATATTCTTCAGCTGCCCCTCCTCTGCGTGTTAATGTTAAATTTCTAACAAAGGCATAGCAGTCAGCTGCACCTGTTTGAATGGTGAGATTTATCGGCAACAATGCTGCGTTATCAGACAAAGCAGTTTTAAGATAAGTTTTGTGGGGTTTAAATGATACACGGTTTGTCAATCTTTGCGAACTCTGAAAAGCGTTCCGGCAATGAACCGCTGTTTATTTACAAACAGTAACTGAAATTCTGAAAACCACCGTTTTGAGGGGAAGCGGCATTTGTTACAATTTGAAAAATTATTTGGGAGAAACAGTGAGAATGCGTTTTCAAGAAATAACAGGTCGTATGCCACTCCATAATTCTTACATTTTGCTCACATTGTAGAAACTCTGTCCATAAGTAGAAAAACTTAGTCTGAACAGAATGTAGATGTTTTTTGTTTGTGTAGTTTTAATTTGCTCCTGGTTTCCCTCCCTTGCAGCAAGCAGATCAGGTAGGCTTTGCTGAGGGACAGCGATTGGCCCATGAGACTAACTGAATACTAAGCGACTCAAACAAGCTTCTGATAGGGAGCAAAACACATTTCAATTTGCTTTTTTTTAAAAAAAAAGGAAATGTCAAAGAGAAGCAGCGAATGTATTATTTCAAAGAGGACTAACGCATAGCAGTTAAGTGGCACTCTGGAAAGTGAAACCGTTGTGCAGGGCAGTAAGAGGCTGTAATTATTAGTGCCCTGTATTTCAAATATGTGTTTTAATCAGTACAATCATAGTCTTGTTTACTCAGCTATCGTGTATCGGTGGGGAATAATTGCCAGTGATTTTAATGCAGCTAAAGCAATGCAATTAGCTATAATGAAAATCAGCGCAACGGAATATGATGATTCGCACTCTGTCCTACCAGGCCCTCCCCCTGTTCTGCTCCACTGAAGGAGCGGATCACAGGACTGTGTGTAAGTTGTAGAGCTGCAAGCTTTAAATGGTTGATTAATCAGTTTATGAACCCTGATTGCTCCAGTTAAAAGGGAGAGGAAAGACCCTTGCTCGAGGCTTTGGAAAGCCAGTGCCAGCCAGCTAGCTTAGGTAAGCAGTACTCATAAACAACACCCCATGCCCGCCCTCCTGTCTCAGGTGGGGCTGCTTAAATCACTAAGTCAATGAGTTCAATGCATTTTTAAAATTATTTCGACAGTGCAGATATTTCATAGAGCAGAAAAGCAAAATATTGAATAGAGTGTTTCGGAAGGGTTTATTTACAGAACCTATCAGTTTTCTGAAACTTCTTTCTAGATCTGCAGAAGGCACCCATGTTGCAGCTTTCTGAACAGATGGTTTTACAATCGACTTCTTAGTGGAAAGATGAGAGATCGTACTCAGTACTCAGATGATAAGGGGGTCAGAGTTTTCTCTCTCTTTCTTTTTCTTTTTAAAAAGAATACCGTTATTTATTTGCACGATTTACATGCTGTTTAAACCCAACCGTCTCTAAACCGCGCACAAAGACGCAGCACAAGGAAAACAAAGTAAGTCGAAACTGTAACATCACTTATGTTTGCAACAGCCCCCTCAATTCCTATTTTTAGAAAGCTACCACGGGGTAGAACTTTGATCAAGCCCCCACAGCCACCTTTTTGGCCATAATTGGAACACTGACTCACCTCAAAAATTATCTCACTGGCCCTAATAATTTTGCCAAGCTCCACCTAAACGTCACTTTTTAAAACAAAAACAAAAACTCCCCCCCCCCGCGCGCGCCCCAAATAGAGGCTGGAACAACTCCTACCTTAGATAACTCAGATAGGGCGTGAAGAACTGAGGCAAGCCGTCTCTGAGGCCGGCGAACTGCTGCGGAGCGTGCAGGGCAAGCGGCTGGTAGAGGACCGGAGGCTGCGCGCCCGACGTGGAGGGCAAACTGAGGCTGTCCCTCTGCGCCCCGCAGCTGGTGGAGGCTTTGCAAGGCGCAGGGCCGTATGGGCCACCGGGGGCGGCGTCTGCAGCAGCAGCTGCAGCCTCTGCTTTGTAGAGAAAGGACTCGAACGAGGAACAGGGCGCCTCGGGAATGCCGCCCGTGCTATTCTTGGGCAGAGGAGGAAGCGCACTTGGAACCACGCTCGGAGGCGCGTAGTCTGGGCAAGGCATCGCTGGCGCTGGTGCTCCTCCTGCTGCTGCTGCTGCTGCTGCTGCCGTCGGCGGCGGCAAACTTTTGGCAGCCGAGTAAGAGCCACTGCCGCTGCCGCGGCCACCGCCGCGGCCGCCGCCGCTATTGTTCTTAGCCGCCGCAACCACCAGGCTTTCTTCCTTGATCCTGAGGTTGCGCTGAAAATCCGCGGCGGAGCCGAACGCGTAAGGCGGCTGCGGCGGCTGCCCGTCTCTGGCCGAGTAAATGTGGTTTGTAAAATCCTGGAGGGTGCAACCGGACGGCGAGAGCTGGGTGCTCGCCTGCACGCCGAAGGGGACCATGTCCTCGTACTCGTCCACGTCCAGCAACTGCCGGGTCCTGGCGGCTACGTACGCCTGGTTGAGAGGGAGGATGGGCAGGTTGAACAGGCCGTGGGTGCTGGGCTGGTCAGCTGCCGCGACGCCCGGGTGCCCCTCGGACGAAGCCCGGTTGCCGCCGCCGTCCGATTCCTGCTCCGTCGAGCTCCGCTTTGCGAAGCCCTGCTCCTCCCTGGAAAACTCCGAGGCGGCGGATCCTGGCGCCTTGGCCTTCGGACTATTGAAAGGAGGCCCGTCCGCATCTTTGAATGTCTTCCAGTGGGAAGAAGAGGCGACAACCGGAGAAGGTGACGTCGGCGCCGGAGGCAGCGAAGAGGCGTTTGCTGGCGCGTCCTCGCCTTGCCCGTCGGGGCGGCGGCTCATCTGCGCGCCGGAGAACTCGGGGATGTCCGAGCCAAAGAAAGGCCACGTCGAGGGGCTCTCCGTGTTGCCTTGGCTGGAGGAGGGGGCCAGGAAAGTGTCCAGGACCCGGTCCAAGACGTCTTTGTCCACTGGAGATCCGCAGCCGTCCCGGAGCGAGGAGGAATCGCCGCCTTTCCTCTCTCCCGCCTCCTCATTCGGGGGGCACGACTGCTGCTCGTGGTCGTCTTCGTCCTCTTCTTCCCTCTCCTCCTCGTCCTCTTCTTCTTCCTCCTCGTCGCTGCTTCTGGGATACAGCAGCCCGTCCAGAGACAGGTCTATGGCTTCCACCGTCTCCCGTCGGGCAAAGGGGCCGCGATCGGAGAGGAGGGGCGCCTGAAGAAGGTCCGCTCGATCCCGGATTACGGTGGCGGAAGCAGACAGCTCCCTGGCATCTGCCTTCGTTTTCATTTCGCTTATAAGTCACCCTGAAGTTCGACGGGGCGGGCAAACGGATCCGAAAGTAGCGGCGGTGGTGGTGGTGGTGCGGCTAGGAGGCTAAGCAGTGAGGGCACCGGCCTCTCCGAGGCTCCCTTTGCACATCTTGATTCCCCTTCGGGCGGTATTTGGATTCTCTCCTGTCAAATTCGCCCGGCGTGGCTCAGCGCCAGCTGCTGCACTTCTACTGTGGGAGAGGAGGCAACGCAACTCCCGCTCTGTTTCTTAAAAGGAAGAGAAGAGGGCTTGGAGGAGAATCCGCACGGAGGCGAGGGCGCAGAAGTTTCCCAACGCTGCTTCGCATCCAGACGCCGCTCCGCTTTTGCAAGCCGATCTCTGTGCTGAGGTTCCTCGAACTCTCTGCACACAGACACACACGCCCCCAAACCACACCCCCTTTGTAGCTCAGTTTTGCGAAGGCAAAACCTAGATGGCAGCAGGTGCTGCAACAAGTGGGGGCGGGGGGAGCGCACGAGGCACCGTCCAGAACCGAGCAGAGCTCAGAACAGTCTGCTGCAGCCGCGTCGTGAATAAAATAAAATAAAAATTCCTACCCTCCGGACAGGGCGCAACTTGGGCTCCACGCGTCGGTCCCCTGCGCGCCTGGGGTTGGGAGACGAGGGAATTTCTCCTTTCCCCTCCCCTCCGGTGCGGACGTTCCCTATGAGCTCGGGGTGCAGATGCGTAATTGCGCGCGCGATCTCTCCCTCGCTTGCCTGCACCGGCCCGCCGAGCAACAGGCAGCCAAAGGGGTCAGCCCAAACCCGGCGACCTGCGTTGGGAATGAGGGTCAGCAAACTGCTGGAACTCCTTCCACCCACCCCGGTCCTGCCAGCCTGCCTGTCTGCAGATGAGCCCGAGCTCCGCGCTGCCTCCTGGTGGGCAAGCCCTGGTTCTGCGCTTTGGACGCGCTGGCTGCCCCTGAAGGTGCACGGATCCCGCAGACTCTGGGTCCTGCTTCCTTCTAGCTCCTCCTCCTCCTCCTGGTGATCTCCGCACATGCACACAGTCGTTAGCTGTTTCCCCTACCCACTCCCCCCCCCATCTCTTTTCTGCATCTCCAGTATATGGGGGTTCTTCTTAGAAACCCACTGTGGCACGCCACTCCAGTATCAGAGCAGTGCAAGGTTCCAGGCACTTTGCCCAGGGTTTGGTTTTCTTGGAAAGAAGCAAGGGGGGAAAATTTTTTTTTGCCCTACTGTGCATAGAGAACCCTTTTTGTAAAGTTGTGGGATCAAAGTTCATTACACTAACGCACTGTTGAGAAATGCAGAAATATAAAAGGATTAAACAGGCGGGGTCCTCTGTTGCAATTTGCAAGATCTCATCTGGGAGAGTATGAAGGCAGAGATGGATTGTGTGTCAGCCTTGCAAGTATATGGCATGAGTTAATGCAATAGTGAATAATTATTAGGAAACAGGTTAGTAATAGATACTGGCGGAGGAAGGAAGTGTGGTGGGTGCCCCGCCCCAGGTGCACAACATGTGCACCGCTCCAGGTGTTAGAGCAGCTGGCTCAGCAGCTGGTAATAGATCATGAGGATTTTGATTTCTCAGATCTTTATGTGTGTCTTATTATATCCTGCACATTCACAAAACAAAACAAAAAAATCTTTGAAAAAAGAACTTACGTGACGGTAAATAAACTAGTTTTCTGCAGTAAGACACCAGCATGAAATTTGTCTATCTGTAGGTGGAGTCATACTTTTCTGTTAGAAACAGAACCAATCAATTTTATAAGATTGAAGTTGTTCCACTAGGGCAAGGAACTTCCTCTCCCTGATCTCCCCCTCTGCAAATCTGCGGTGGATTGTTGGGGTGATTTAAGGGGCTGTGTGCTGTCGAAAGTGGCACCTCTGTGTCGTGTTTTCCCTTTGCCTTTTTATAACGTGCAGTGAAAACTTTCCTTATGTCTCATGCCATCATGTTGTACACTCCCTCCAATTCCACCAGTGACAGAAAAAAGAGGAAAGAGACTGGAGAACATACATTGTATACTTCACTACACCTTGTTGCAAGGAAGCCCTTGATGCGAAATGGCCATTTGCAGTCCAGACATTAGCCCTACATGTGGACAGCTGTATCATGAGCCCTGAGACATTGCTGGGCTTGGGCTTGGATTGGCAGTCTGTGGTCAATGAGGAGAGGGAGGAGAAGGATCAAATGGGGGCTGAGAACAGGGAACAGAGGCTGGAAGGGGTAGGAGTCTAGATGGGGAGGCAGGAATTATCCTGGGGAGAGGATAATACCCAGTGGAGTCTGGGGAGGGTATCATCCAACCTTTGTAAACAGTGGAAGTGGACTCAGAAGGGTCCAGGAAGTGCTTCTTCCACCAGGAACACACTCAACATCTTCCATGGACACCTGCATCCTTGACATTCCCACAAGGCAGAGGGAGTAAGCTTGCCCTCCGCATTAAAAGCTTGGTGTATCAGCCTGTTAGGACAACTTCACTGTTTCCATGCAGTTCTGAATGCCCTGCTCTAATCTTGGAGCTGGACTTCTTAAACCCGGATTCCTGCTTCTATCTTAGCCAGTCACACTGTTCCTGTTGCCTATGTGAATTCACACTGTAATGGAGAATGCCTCACTTGCCTAAGTTAAACTTTTTAAAGCCTACAATTCATTCTTATCATGAAGTTGCACATCTACGTGATGGACTCAACAACTAGCTGATTCAACCAACTTAGCATGTGTGCAATTCTCTGTTTACAGTACCATCTGGAGTGTGAGTGTCACTGGGCATTTCCTGAATGTTGCAATTTTCCAGGGGCAATTAGTGGATTTTCTACTAAAGGTAAAAGGACCCCTGACCATTAGGTCCAGTCGTGACCGACACTGGGGATGCGGCGCTCATCTTGCTTTATTGGCTGATGGAGCTGGCGTTTGTCCGCAGACAGCTTCCGGGTCATGTGGCCAGCATGACTAAGCCGCTTCTGGCAAACCAGAGCAGCGTACGGAAACGCCGTTTACCTTCCCGCTGGAGCGGTACCTAATTATCTACCTGTACTTTGTACTACTTGTACTTTGATGTGCTTTCGAACTGCTAGGTTGGCAGGAGCAGGGACCAAGCAATGGGAGCTCACCCGGTTGCAGGGATTTGAACCACCAACCTTCTGATCGGCAAGTCCCAGGCTCTGTGGTTTAACCCACAGTGCCACCCGCATCCCTGGATTTTCTACTCTTGCACAACAAACCCACTCGCCCCAAAATGGACCTTTTTGCAAGGAAAGCAGTGGGAAAATGCAGTGGGAATTGTGGGGTAACAATTGATGGATGCATCATATAACCAGCCATAAACATATAAAAAAGAAAGCTCAATAAACAGCTGGTGTCATATAAACTCCCCGCGAATTTTGTACAAATAGATCTGGATGAATGCTCAAAAAACAGATTGTCTGGAAGCAACCACAGATTCTCCCTCCTACCTTTTAATAGTGGCTTTCATAGGGCTCTAGCCTGCCTCAGGCAAAGTTTATCGCTCTGTCTCCTGTAAATCATGTCCCAGATTTTTTAAGGGATACGTTGTGTGTTTGTATGGTATTCAACCAATTCAGTGGTTCAATGGAATATGCCTAGCCTGAACCACAGACTTGGAGAGGAGACCACCAGACACTGAAGCACAATTCATTGAATGCCAGCTTCTGATACTTGTTTTCTCTGTCCAAAGACTTCTCCCATTTAGTTCCAGCAAAGGGGAGGTGGTCTGCTAGATCCGCTCTCTGGGGGGACCCCAGGATATTCCAAGGGGGCCACAGGTGGACATTACATAAACGGGGGACATGAAGCTAGGAAGCCACAGAGGGAAGTGAGAAGAAAATAAATCATTTTTTAAAAGAATCCTGATTGGTTGGCTATCTGCTTAGCCAATCAGAAGCAGGTAAGGGGGTGGGCCCACCAGGTGGCAGCCAACCAGGCATTTTCTTGGCGCAGTCCTGGTTTGTTTACATGGGAAGAGGGTGACTGCTGAGGCTCCTGTTTTGACCACTGCTTGTAGCTGCCACCAGTGCTGGGCCAGATGGCAGCCTGGGCCTGACTCTGCAAGGTGTGGGGTGCAATCCATCCCAGCGCCCAGCAGATTGGGGCCTTTGGATGTTGCCAACGGGCACAGGGCCTATCAGCAGCGCTGGCTTGGCTCTGCAAGGCATGGGGCAAAATCCACCCCAGCGCCTAGCTGAGCAGGGTCGTCTAGTTCTGCTGACTTTCATCCAGTAAATAACTAAGTGCCTACTCAGAAGAAAGCCACACTGAGTTCAGTGGGCCTTACTCCCAGGTAAAGGTGTGTGGGGCTATAGTGTTTTATCTAGGCAGCCAGGGCTCCTCCGGATTACAAGATCTTTTTGCACCAGGTCAGTGAGGACCACTTGCTTTTTAAAATTCTCCCATATATATATATAACTCTCTTGTGCCTTTTGCAGACCCCCCCAAGTATCCCTATTTTCCAGGGACAGTCCTGGATTTACAGAAGTCATCCCAGTTTCTGATTTGATCCCAGAATGTCCTGCTTTTCCTTAGGACGTCATTATTTTCACCACAGAAATGTTGAAGGGTATGCAGTTATCCGACTCCCGAGCCATCCGAAGGCAGCCTTGTGTAGGGAAGTTTCTTTAATGCTTAATTATGTTTTTATATATGTTGGAAGCCACCCAAAGTGGTTGGGGAAACCCAGTCATATGGGCGGGGTATAAATAGTAAAATTATTGTGCGATAGGACGTCCCTATTTTCATCAGAGAAATGTTGGAGGGTATGCTTTTGGACTGTTATCAAGAGGTTCCCCCCCCCCGTGTCAAATAAATGTTGTTTACTTTTTATAATACATGGAAGATGGATCTCGCTTGGGAGGTTCTGGACTCTCCTTCCTTGGAGGTTTCTAAGCAGAGGTTGGACGGCCATCTATCATGGATGCTTTAGCTGAGTTTCCTGCATTGCAGGGGGTTGCACTAGAAAGATGACCATTGGAGTTCATTCCAGCTCTATGATTCTATGTTTTTGTGCTTCAGCAATATTTCGTTATGTTCCTATCATTTTATGTAATTGTAAATAGCTACCTTTCTACCGGTAGGACGGGCTGGGGGGCCACAGGAAGGAAACAAGGCCAGAAGGGGGCAACAGTTTGGAAAAGGTTGGGAAACACTGTGGTAGATCATGAGACTGTTTTGGTTCTCTCATTTCCCCTCATTATGGTTTTTTGCAAGCCTTGGGGTTCTCCCAAGTCTACCGATACCTCCCTCTTGTGTGCGGATGACAGTGCTTTGGCTGCATAAGCACCCGCACACAGAAAACGGGTTCTCTATTAGTATATAGAAGATATTTATCTCTCTCCTTTCTACTCCTTCCAAGGTGGCTGTTAAGCACCCAGGGCACATCATATTGTTCAGTCTAGCCAATGGCCGCGCTCCTTTCACAAAGGACATCGGGTCTTGTTTCACGCGGCATCACAACAACGTGAGACAACGGAACACAAAACGAGGACTGTGTTCTCTGTAGCTTCTTCTCCACAGACAAGACTATTTTAAGCTGAAAGGTACATTTCAGTATTTCCTTTCTAACCAAGCTGAAGACAGCTTTTCCCAGCTCTGGGCAGCATAAGAGCTTTTCTCAAATCGGTCCTGGAGAGATCAGCTAATAATGTTCTAGGACGAGATGAAACTTTCATTAAATACCTGGCTGATTCTTTGCTAGTAGCTCTTGTGGCTAGAGCATAGATTGAACAAAGACGCTGGTTGGTTTTTCACACACACACACACACACACACACACACACGGGGGACTTTTATTTATTTTAAATCTAGCATGGGGAACTGCTAGCCCTCCAGAAGTTGTTGAATTCCAGCTCCCATCATACCTGATCCACAGTTCTGAGGGCTGTGGCTGATGGCAGCTTCCACATCCCTGTTCTAGGCAAACAACTTATAGGAAAAACATATATTTGACAACTTTCTGGGCCAAAGTGGGCATTGTAAGAACATTTGACTGTTTTTCTTGGGGGGTGGATCTCCAGAAGTCTGTCCCGAGCTGCATGTGGCTTTCAGTTGAAAATTAAAATAAATGTATGTATTGGAAGAAGGACTTTTTTTCAGCCGGAACTCACCAGAACTCAGTTCTGGCACCTCTCAGGTGTGCGCCATTGCCATTATAAAAGAACAGTTCATTGTGAGGTCCAGTACATCTTTTTCTAGAAAAATAGCACAGATTGGAAGTGTTCCCACTTCTGAACACCAGTTGAATGTGTCCACCCTCCAGAAATGTCTAAGATACTTTTAAGAACTTCATTCTCCAAGTAAGATGGATCACAAAACTCTCATGTTTCAGAAATAAGACCTGCTTGCAAACTTCAGATTTTGCTAGGATTCAGAGTGTTTCCAAACACAATAGATGGATGATGGTTCCATCTGCAGCTAGCCATATCACATTCAAATGTGTGTGTTTTTCAGCCATCCAAGCCAAAAAGCAGATTCCCCAAGTTTCAGTGTGTTCAGATTTGCTTGTGGGACGTTTCACTGTGTAGGCTGCGTTGAGAAAAACAAGTAATTCATCAACTGCGAGTGTCTATGCAATGATTTGCAGCTGGCTCCTGCCAGGCTGAATCTTGCAAACTCCCCACACAGCATAGTCTTCTTAATAGTATACACACACACACACACACACACACACATATTAAAAGTTAAAATC